CGCATTTAACATTCGCTCGAACGGTGAAAGAAAACATCGTGAGGAAACCGGCTTGCCTTAGACCCAAAAAGTCGACGGCGTGTGTCAGGCACAGAAGGCTGATCAATTACTTGCCTCTAGATTGACAAATAAATATGAAACCGATACAGAAATCTGAGGCCCAACCCTGAAAAGGTTGTAGCGCCACTGATTTATGTTTTGTAAATAATTAAAATTCGTTGTAAGCAAATTTTTAAAATTGTCGATATAAATCGCGCTCTTTATGACTACTTCCAAAGAAAAGCTTATTAACCTCTTATATCAAAAACATTCTTCCTGCTGGCCTATAAACTCCGACTAGAGGCCAATTTCGTTAGAAAGGTATGAAGAGGAAATAAATCTTACTTTTTTTTATACTTGGGGAAATGCATTGCGCATACCCTACCGCGGCGCGACTGCTTAGTAAGGGAGGCTTATGTGGGTTTTGCATACCCACTAAAACCCCAAGGCGCCACCAACAATCGCCTTAGCCGGGATGCGGTAACAGCAGAGCTTTATCCGCTTCCCGATATGCGAAGTGGCGGTTGCATCCGCCTCTCCACGCCCATTGTTCGTTTGTAAAGATTCTTGACACAGCAAGTATCCACAGACCGGGCCATACGGTTTGGGCACTTTTTAGGTGGTGAGGAACACCAAAAAAAAGCTTACCGCCTAACCTCAATAGCGAATTTAATCATTGGTATCGTCGCTGAAATTAAACTATTCAACCTGTAGTCATAGCCGTAGCTTTAGCATAGTTTTTCACGTAACTACCAATTAATAGTATGACTGTCCATCTCCATTATTCAATAGTGGAAGATAAAGACGTTTTCGAGATGACATAAAAACAGTTGAGCATGACGTACAGAACCGTGCTGTAACGTAACTCTCTGTACATCGAGAGCAAACAACGTCTATTGCGAGAGAACGTTGAGGTATTCGCTATAGATACCGGCAAACATCTTGAACAAATGTCCTTGCCTGCGCAGAAGCGATTTTTACGTATCACTGGGAGGGGGGACAGCGGCGGGAGAGTGACGTGTCGATCGCGTGATTGGTAAATCAGTTGACGTTTGTGTCCCGCCCTGCGCAAACTTTGATGGACTTATTAGATAGCCTAACGTTAACCAACATAAAAGTAAACTGAAAAACTATTTCTACATGCCTATGTCGCGCTGCACAAGATTGCTATGGTTACATTTATACAAACCACGGCGCTTTCCTACTGTAACATATTATGAATCTACCATATTATATTAACAAGGATTTATAATTATTGCATTGATTAGAAGGCTTACGTGGACAGACAGGTCCATCACAAAAGAGGCTGTTATATATGTATGTCCTTAACATCACCAAATGTTGGGCAAAATGTATGAATGATATCTATACCTTTTTACTATGTAGTTTTGCTAAGAAGGTAGTGAAAAATTATATCGGTAGACTCGACAATTTCATTATTATTATTATGACAACAAATTCTTGAGAATTGTAGCCATTCTTCCTTAACTTATTTTTATAGATATTGCATAATAAACATCACGTGGCTGAACAAGTTTCTAAAACCGGCTTTTTAATTTTATGTTCCAGTTTTTTTTTACTTCGGGTCTTATACTGTGCGAACTTTTAGTGCAAAAATGTAATGTGTGACCTCAGAGATTATGTACCTTTCTTTAGTTATTTAAATTTACTAAATTTCATTCAAAACCGAACCTGGAAATAGTTTTGTAGAAGAATTAAGTCAGTGATTGGATTGCTCAGTCCGTTACAACAAAAAAGGCATAAATACGCGACCAAATTACTATTATATATCTAAATCTATGCTTCTGACTTGAAACCAGCGCACAAAATCATATGCCCTCTATGCGACAAGTCTTAACTTTTGTTAATGACTGACTAAACGGACAAAAAAACGGTTATTATAGACAAGTTTCTGTTTTTTTTCTAAGTTAGGTTTAAATACATTTATTCTCATAACAGACAATAGTCACTTACATGAGAACTTATATACTAAAGATACAATTTATCACGTCGTGGGTCATTGAAGAGCTTCAAGGATGAAGTAGCGAAGTAGAACTTGGGTGGACTTTCATTTACGTAGAGAACTGACTAGACTAGACTGTCTTTTAGTCTTAATTTAAATACGGCTGTCTGCACTTTTTATATTTCGTGGAAGTCTCTATACCGCAGCACTCCCCCAACGCTCAATGTTTTTTTACCGTTATTGGTTCTAAACTTAGGTAGAATTAGATTGTGAGGGCGTCGTGAACTGCGCTTCTGAATTTGATTTATAAGTTTATCTATGAATTGCGACGTTGCCCTCTTGTGCATAAGGCATAACGGGGGAATAGTTATACCAACGTAGTTACGAGTTTATAAGTAAGAAATTATTATCTTGTTATTCTAAGCATAACTATTACTAATATAGGGTTGCAATAAGTAAGTTTTTATTTGTACCACTGTAAAATTTTGACACAATTAAAAACACAAACGGACAACAATTGGATTCCTAGCAAATTGAGCATTGCTTATATAGGAGATCTTTGCCGGAGTAATAAAGATTCAACGAGGTCTCGAAATGATGAGGATATAATATAGGATATAATATAAAAAATCTTGATGTCAGCTAGACAGGCGGCTACGGGTCGGAATTGTTTAGTTAAATAATTTATTTAAGTCTTTAAAGAACTGCAACAACATTGATTAAGGAGATTTATTTATTTTTATTTTTAAATATTGTTTCTCAGTAAGTGAATTATGTAAGCAATTCTTATGAGAAATAAAGTTATTCTTAAACCAAAAAAAAAAAGATTTACTTTATAATAGTGTAGAGTACGGTCAGAAAATAATGATATTAAATTAAATAGTAAAATTTTCGCCTCGCTTAAATATAATCATTGCTGTACGTTATTATATTTTGCCACATAATTAAGAACAGGCGCTATGAATTGACACACATTTCTTTAGAAAATAACTTTAGAAACAACAACTGTTATAAATGTCTTACAACTTGAACAAATATTGTCAAAAAATTTAATATCAAAATCACTCAACAGCTCTCAACATAAGTATTTATTATTTTAACCATAATAAGCTTGAATCACCTTCTGAAATACAAGACTCCAAAGTTCCAATAAATATACAAATATTTGTATAATGTACTGTACTGTAACTATAAAACGCCAAACTGACTTCCAGAAAGCTGGGTATTTCACTAAAATACAATGTATTCAATTCTATAGGACATCGACCTCATATGAAATACCTACTGTTCTTATCTCTGGGGCGGTACCCGTTTTATTTGCAAAGAAAATTATACATTCAGATTGATTAATTACAAAAAACCGCTCAATCATATAAAAATAGGTATCATAATAAAAAGAACAGTTAAGATATTTATAATTGTTGTCAAAGCATAAAAAGGCACCTTGCTTTTTTAAATCTTATCACATTCCCTTTAATTGCATTACACGGCAGTGATCTATAACTTCTGGGAACGTGATTAATAGTTTGATATACATGGCGTAACAATTTCTTAATAACATCGCGGTGGAACACGTAGGCACCCACAGCCGTGTTGGATTCATTTACTAGGCGTTTCCTTCTTACTCCACCCTTATTGGCAACGAATCCACATACCTATATCCGAATATAAAATAGTATGGTAGTTGTGTTTTATAGCTTTAAAAACGTGGATGCGTAATATTACGTACAATGGAAATTTCAAATATTTGGTAAACTTGACCAAATGCTGCTGAACAATTCGGTAGGAAGATATCGTCTCACATTATGTTAGCCATCCGAATTTAAATTTTATTATATTCGTGGAAACGTATGTTGTGATTGAAGAATGTAGTTCCGCGTATGTTTTCATCCGCATGAAGGTTTTTTTTATAGAATAGGGGACAAACTGCTCATGGACATTGATGAAAGGCTCACAAGCCGACCTTTCAAGAATTCTTACGTTCTTTTCTTGATGATGATTGGACAAATTCTAGAGATGGGGGTTTAAAAAACAACAAAACTAATAAAAAAATATTATTCCTACCTGGCAATTTCAGGGCCGAATATAGCTAATTATGGATATGAAAGCTTAGTTAAACACTATGGCGTCAATTGAAGTATAAAATTAATCTTTCATAGTTATGTTTTGCGTTTTTCTCGACACTTGTACAAAATGCAGGCTTTTAATTACGTCATTACTGTGGCTTTAATGCGGTCGATTACCTTAAATTAATTTCGATGCACCAATACCATATTGAAATTTGTAAAATATATTTATACAAATAATTTATTGAGGTCGATTACCTCAAATTAATTTTGATGTTGTAAAAATGTGTTTGTACCACTACCATATTGAAACTTGTAAAATAAAATTATATAAATAAATAAAGATATTACAATACACGTGAATTTAACGTAATAATGAAACAATCTTGTATGTTTTATTAATAGATGACTACAATTTTTAGATTTTTTACACTCCACTCATTCAACAAGAATGGAACATTGCTGATAATGAATAACAACAAAGATTCAGTATGTAGCTTAGTAATTCTTTGATGATGAAGTATATATGTTTTATTATTATTATGCGCATATTATTAATATTTTGGACGTAAATATGTAGAATCCCTAATTTTTGTGTAAATTCGTAGCAAACATACACATTTTTTTTTTCATATTTATATTATCACTAGAGACTTCCGGTTTTTACCCTGATAGGAAGCCATATCTTGAAGCCAAGGCTAAACTATCGTATCGCATAGTCGCCGTGCAACTTTGGTACAATCCCAGATTATACTTTATTTAAAAGATAATAAAGTTAATTATAGCTTGCAACAAAATTATATACGATAGCAGATGAGCAACACTGGACTAGTCTACCACGCGAATTGTTTCCGAACACATGTGTTTTTATATCAATTAAACTGCGCGCGAAAAAAAAAACTGTCATATGTCAGTTACGAAAAGCGCGCGAAATGAATCCGATATCAGTGACAGTTTGGGCATTGGAAAGCCATTGTTTTCTAGTGTATAGTGTTTTGGCGGCGGTTTTTATTGTCTTCACAGTGTTCCACAGAAATAGACTGCAAGTGCTCGAAAATAGAATTGGCGATATCAAGAAAGTTCCAAATGTTTATTCTGCGAGAAAAGGTTTAGTATCTCCTCGATAATTCATTTATAATTTAAGGAATAAAGAACTTTTTAGCTCTCCAAGGGTAATTGACATTAGGTACCTGGTGGTCGGACATTTTTGACAGACCGGTGTATTATTTTTATGTTCTTTTTTTCATATACATTACTGAGAACTTAAAGCTTCTTTTGTGTATTGTAAAATATGTATAATAATTATTTATTTATTCAAGCAGACAATCTTTATTAAATCATAAAATTAAAAAGGGCACAAGCAGGCTTTTGCAAGTGCCAATCCTGCTATTACTATAGTCAATTCTATAATCGGTTATAGTAGTTGCAAATAAATATTTTTTTTAAATAAATCTAATCCATAATTATATACCATATTTCCTTTTAATTTTTGAATGCAATGGACACAACATCGGGAAGGAAAATAATAACTAAGATCCACTAAAATTAGGAAATTAATATCTCTAGTAGTGGCAACATTAATTAACTAGTGAAACCGTTCTGTATAAATTATTCGCGAGGCTGAATATCGAAAAATTGCGTGCACATAAAACACAGTGTAATTTATTGTAATTGGAATCTCATAAAAAGTTTTTTAATTATATTTCATATAAAAAATTAACTGCTAATAAAATTCTTATTACATGGCTCAAGACATTTATGAATGACGGAATACTTCATGAATTCGACTATGGTATTATCTCTCTATCTATTGCAAGATGCACAGATAAAAGGTGGACTTTAAAGACAACTATATGGAAAAGAACAAGAGGAAGGAGAAGAGGGCGCCACAAAAAAAGGTGGAAAGAAGAAATAAAAAAAGAAAGATTCTCCATGGACAGAGATATTTGGAAAATCGTTGAGGCGGTTTACCAGTAAAGGGTATACTAGAATAGCAAGAAAAAAATTATATATCAAATCTAAGTTAATTATAGTAGGTATATCCTAATTTTGTTACGACTGGAAATTAAACGGGCTTTTATTATTACTATTATTATCTATCTATAGAAAATAAATAACATTCAAGACTAGAAGAGTGTAAAGTCATCAAACTGTTAATCTTAGAATAAAAAAACTTGAAAGAGAATAGAGTTTTTAGTTTTACAATAATCATTTATAGTAAAGGATCATGTCCTATAAAGGAAATATTTGTGGCATCCAATGAATCATATATCACTTATATATCATATATCACGCATTCCTAATACCTTAATTACATAATTTACAATTACTGTATAATATAACTGGCCACTAAAAAGAAATAATATATAAGGATATACTATGTCGGAAGCTATGATAGTGAATAATGGTTTCCCAATCTGTGGTTGCATTGTAGATACTCTGCAATATATAAAATAAATTCAGTAATTGCCTCAGTCTAGTCAGACTACTGAGTCCGTTTGTAAAATTTCTGTCAGTGCCTGACACGCCGTCGATTTTTGGGACTTAGACATGCTGCTCACCAGGTTTTACTCCAATTTATTTTTTGGTTGGAACCTTACATTCTAAATTGAAATGGGCAGGCCATATTGCAAGGTGTACAGATAAAAGATGGACCGCAGAAGCCACCCGCCAAGCTGGAGGGGGAAGGAAAAAGAAATGTGGGAAGACCACAAAAGCGATGGGCTGACGACATAGGTTTCTAGGGAGAAATGGATGGAGGAAGCTAAGAATAGATCCAAAGGGAAAGTTCTGGAGGAGGGATTTACCAAAAAGTGGTCCATAGTCCATACTGCAGAACACAAAAAAAAACGGAAACATTAGCGTTGACTAAGTGTGTAATAATAATAAAACTAACACCCATTAATTGGTATGTAATTTTTAACAGCATGGAATTAAAGCGGCTTTATTATTATTATATTTATTTTTAGGCAACCACAGTTAAACACTGCTCATACAAACTGAATAAATTTCCAAACGTTTTTTTAATACAAGTTATAATATAAACAGTAGTAATTTATGTATTCATAAAATACATTAGACTATTATTATTACATATTAGGTATATTTGAATTAATAAAAAAATCTTATTAATTAATTACTGCTCCGCGTTCTAAGTATATAAAATATTCATAAAAACTAATTAACTTAATTACTCTGGTCTCTTTCTGCTAAATTTTGTTGACGCGATAATAAAACAAATGTACATTAACTCAAACTTTTCGATAGATTCATCAATACATTAATATGACAATTTTAGCTTAACTTGATCAAAAGCGTCGATTTTAGTTGTGTAAAATTCAGTGTCACGACTAAGCTTAAGTCTGTCCCGGATGTCAAAGACGTATTGGATTTGGTATAATGAAAGATGGATGGCATTTATCATGCAGTTGAATATATATTTAGCAGTCCAATGACAGCTGCTTTGAACCTTCAATTACTACATTTATAAAATAAATTGTTTTAAAGTATTCTACCTTCTTCTGAGTTACAGAAAAACTTAATCGAAATCCTTCCGCTTATTCTATTTCAAATTTATCTTGAAATTTTTCTTATTCGTTTTCAAGAAAAAGAAGCAATTTGTAATACGCGTTTTACCTTATGCCACAATTGTTATAATTTTATAATTTAATGCGAGTCAGCTGTGTGACGATAAACAAATTACCGCACGTAGTTTTGTGTGTGATAACATTTAATTAAAATATTTATCAATTACATACAAAAAACAACAAAATTAAACCGACTTCAAATACCTGTCTAATTACCTATGTTAATCATCCTCCAGAACTGCTTGATGAAGCTATATATATTTCTACTGAGAGCTATCCTCAGTAAATGTATCCAGATATAGTAATATACTTGTCGCAGCCAACTAGCTTAATAAGCTGTTCAATTAACAGCCTAGCCTCTTAATTAAACAGCGCCGTTTAACTAGCGGCCTGAAAGTTATTCAGCCAGTTGATCAAACAGCTAGAGTGGCAGAGAGTGGAACTAAATTTAAATTAACAGTCAATTGATTAGTTGAGTAATGAAACGAAATCGATCCATGTCATTTGCCTTGTTGTTTGATCAGCTGGCTGAATATCTTTCAGGCCGCTAGTTAAACGGCGCTGTTTAATTAAGAGGCTAGGCTGTTAATTGAACAGCTTATAAAGCTAGTTGGGTGCGACATACTAATTTAAATCAAGGATTATTATGACATTCCCGACAAGTTTGTACAAATAACATATACGAAATGTATCTCACATGCTAGGAGGTCTAAATAGATCGTACTCAATTATTATCACACACAAGCTGATAACCTCCTTCAAGTTAGTAGCAAACGCGGTCAAAACTCGGTAAAATTTGTGTAAATATATCATAGTTTTTACGTCTTATCTGTTTAAATAGATAAACTGAGCATGCTCATTATTATCCTCACCTACTTTGGGGTGATAAGTTATTAGGTCAAAGAATTTACACAATAATAACAGAGTATTAGCGCTTCCAACGCAAATCATCATATGAAACCCAATACAATCAGGTCGGTCGCACCTAAAATAAAAAATAAATAAATCAGTGACGCTACCTTTTTCACCTTTTCAGATCTGGGCCTCAGATTTCTGTATCTATTTCCTGATCATTTTTCCTATAGGTAGATGATCAGCCTCCGTATCTGACACACGCCGTCGACTTTTTGGGTCTAAGGCAAGGCAAACCGCCTTGCCTCGCCTAACGAAGTTTTACTTCACCATTCGAACCAATGTTAATTTTGCTCACATAGAAATTCCATTGGTGCACACTCCGATTTCGATCCTACGACGACCTCATGGATGAGAGTCGCACGCTGAAGCTATTAGGCCAACACTGCCCTGGTCGGTCGGTCGCAATTACTAAGAACCTTTGTATTATTTTGAAATATCTTCGTTATTTTCGTGGTAGCCGCCCGGTTGGTGCGTACTGTATGTAATTTGTTTATAAAAATGTTATCAAAACAAGGGCCATTCATGTTATATGAGTCATTGTGATAGTTGACATACTGTTGATAAATAATAAAATATTCCTTTATTCTTCCCTTTAATAACAATCACGTTTAACAAAAATACATCTTAAAACACATAAGTTACTCCAAATGATTGTAAAATAAATAATCCAATATACGAGTGTATAAGTGTATTTTCTTTTAAATTCACATGTCATAGGCGTAAGAAAAATATAATAGCAACAGTCGTTTCGTTCAAAGTTCAAAAGGGCAAATAGTTCAGTAGTTAACTCAGTAGTCGGATTTGTGGGTCAAGTATAAAATACGTCAAGACTTGTGTTAGTGTTCATCTGTTGTTACATTAATAATAATAATAATAATAATTTTTATTAATCAGACAAATACAGTCCATTGATTGATTAGTGAGTTAGTAACAATAGTTTCTTAAGATCTATGTTAGTAGAATTAGTAAAAATAAGAAAAAAGTAGTTAAACAAAAACTATTAGGTACAAAGCCCTGCGGAGAAGTCGGAGCAGTGTCGTAAATAGGGGCACTCCATTCTTTCGACTATCATCCGTAAGATGTTGCTGGAGCTGCCCCGCACCCGGCGCACCAAAGAAGCGCACCGCTTTCGCATAGTGGCGAAAAAGCAATCCACCCGCGCCTCTGCAAACATTCTTGATGCACTGCAGAAGCGAGGCAGCCCCAGCAACACCCTAAATGCGTTATTATACTGCACCCGAAGCGAGTTGTATGTTTGTCGAGTAAAACTGGCCCACAGGCTGCACGTGTAGAAGTTAGTGCAATATGCTCTGAATAATGTGACTTTTACGTCATGAGAACAACGTACAAACCTACGAGCCAGCATATTTGCTCTCACCGACAACGCTCTTCGTTCTCTCTCTATATCGCCATTATCTTTGAGGTCGGGGAGTAGGACGTGCCCAAGGTATTTAAACTTACTAACTCGCTGTAAAACACAGTTGTTAATAGTAACCGTCGGCACATTTTGTAGTCTCCTCCTCCCTGACCCAAACACCATCACTTGGCTTTTCTTGGCATTATAGATAAGACCATGGGATGCAGCATATTTTTCACAAATAGCTAATAATTTTCTTAACCCGCAGACAGAAGCGCTAAGCAGCACCATGTCATCAGCATAGCTTAAATTGTTAAGGTTAACGCCATCTACGTTACAGCCAATTCTGGTGCCGGTTAACTCCTCTATCAGCTCATTTACATACAAGTTAAAAAGTATGGGAGAAGTCAACCCACCTTGCCTCAACCCACACTCCATCCTATACGGATCCGACAGGACACCCTCCCAACGCACACTATTGACCTGACTTTTGTACCAATATTTAAGAATATTTATGGTATCCTGTGGTAAATGGATTTTTTCAAGTTTTTTCCACAGCAGATCATAGGAAACAAGGTCAAATGCCCTGGACAAATCCAAAAAACATGCGAAGACAGGCGTCTTACGTTTAACATAATAGTTAATAGTATGCTTAAGACTCAAAATAGCACCATCTGTGGACAGCCCAGGTTTAAAACCAAATTGGTTATCGTGTGGCTTTATATATTTACTTAATTGAGTGTTAAGCACACCATCAAACACTTTTGATATAATGGTTGCCAGAGATATAGGCCTGTAGTTATGAATATCGGCGAGATCGCCTGTCCTATTTTTAACTATTGGAACTACAATACTACTTATCATATCTCTAGGCATGTAACTATGCGCTATACAAGCATTAAATAGAAGAAATAGAACGCGAGGCAAGTGTGGGCCTGCAAACTTTAGATGCTCGATGCTGAGACCGTCGTGCCCCGGTGACTTACCTCTAACCATAGACTTTATAGTGCTATCTATTTCTTTAATAGAAGGTTTCAAACTTATGCCACCTTTACACTGGGTCACAGCATCTAGCCTCGACTGTGAGGGCCCAATCGGCGATTTAACTGTAAAGTAATTAGCAAATAGATCACCAATTTCCTTGGGCTCACACACTCCGTTAACACTCACAGGGAGGCCCGACTTATCTTTTAATCTATTAGTACATTTCCAAAAAGACCGAAAATCATTCCAGCCAAAATATCCATTTTTATTTGGTCTTCGTTATTTTGGCACCATCTCAAGCGTGACTTAAAAATTTTACGACTCAAAATCATTTCTTCATATAACTTTCCTTGTAAAGGCTTACCGTGCTCTAACCATAGGCCAAATTTTTGCCTGGCCTCTCTGTGATGCCCTTGTACATGCTTATTCCAACCTACAATCGGTTTTTTCTTTTTTTGTACTGACTTACAAGTTTTAACAGAAGATGCCGAAAGGGCCAGAATAATATTGTCATATAGCTTATTAATTACTTTTCTATGACTAAGATTACTACATAGCTTATCACTACAATAACGAAATTCAGGAGGAAAGTCAATATGTCTCAACCTGTCATGACATTCTCTCTGATACATTAATATTTGTTCATGTGTTCTTTCCCCCCAAACCACTGCATTATTATAGTTATTTAAATGTATTCGTTTTTTAACAACCATATCTAAATTACACTCAATAACCAGCGGCATGTGATCTGACCAAAAAACATCATACATGACATACACATTTTGAATAGTCTTCGCCGCGGCTTTAGTTACTAAACAATGATCAAGCCACCGCCGTGACCCGTTAGCATCACTTACAAACGTGTACGTATCAGAAGTGACACCTAAGCATTCAATATCAAAGCAACACCATTCTTGCTCTCTTACAAAATTATCCATTTCATGATAAAAACGTTCATATGGATGAGCATTAAAGTCCCCTAAAATGTATGTATTTTCTATCGCACAACTGTCTATTATAGCACTTACCGAGCTAAGGACATCCGTAAACTCGGCTACATTTACCGCCTCGTCCGTGGGCATGTACACACTTAGCACTAGGAATGGCTTATCATTTGAGATCACTTTAATCGCACACACACGCGGGCTATGACACTCAATCACTGAGACATTTTGAAAGATGCTCTTTCTCCAGAGCAGGGCAACACCTCCGTATGGCCGACCTCTTAGTAAGCCAGCCTCCGCATCCATTGACGATACCCCCGTGCCACTGAATTCTTGACTTATGGTACTAAGAAGTGGCATCTCCTCCGAGAATAACCATGTTTCTTGCAATGCTATAATATCCACAACTTTACACATATTACGTAAATCATCGATGGACCGTTTTACGTTCTTACAATTGAAAGAAGCAAATTTATACGTTGGTTCCAGATTCATAATATTAACGTATGGAAATCGTGCTGCCGTCCTTCATAGACATTTCAAACTTACGCTTTATTTTGAAGTGAATAAAGCGACGGAAAATGATGCCTTCTGGCCACATTCCATGATCCAAATAAACTGAAAGTTTTTTCTGTGAGACAAAGAATTTAAAAGCATTGTAGTCACAAGTGCGCTTTATGGAGATCTTTTCTAAGCTGACAGTGTCTCCAGTTTTTTCCTTAATATAATTTATTATGTCCGACTCATTTGTACTTTTGTGGACATTCGTTATGAATAGAGGTGTTTTTCTTTCTGCAGCTCTAAACAATTCCTTCGAATTCACTGCCAGCGTACCCGTCTTTCCCTCCATTCGATTTCTATTAGGTTTTCTCCTTCTTTGTACAACTTTCCATTCTGAGTTGATGGAATTAGCGACAGCGGAGTAAGTCTTCTTATTTTCAGTGTCGTTAATAGTTTGTTGACGGTCTGCACTTAGTGAGTCATCACTACTTTGCGCCAAACCGGTTTCATTCACTCGAGGCGATAGATTCACTTGAGGCGATAAATTTCTAGCAGAGTTATTACCCGGACTAGAATAATCATCATCATTATGCGCATTCCTACTGTTACCGAATGCACCCCTCTTCGTATTAACATTATTATTATAAGTACAGGGTGAGGGTACCGTAGTATTTTGTTTATTTCTGCACAATGTTCTTAAGTTTTCAAACTGCTCAGTCGTGACATACGATGACTTGATTAATGCGATATCAGCCTGTACCCTGGACAAATCTTTCAATAGCTTTGAGACATCCAGGTGGTCGAAAGTTAATGGCGGTAGTTTATCCAGGTCGCGGGCCACAAAAATAGGCAAAACATCAGGGTCAGTAATTTTAATAAAACTGAGCATATCGTATAACAAACGATCTTTTTCCTTTCCTTTTCCTCTTCTTCCCGTTTTTCTCACTTCGGCCGGTACCGATTCAAACAATAACGAATGCGATTTTTGAATTTGTTCCTTTGTGAATGTCGATGCGCATATTTTTACTAATGTGACCTCATCCGATATCGATATTTTATTCTGTATATATGACAGAAGCTCATCGATTACAATATTGCAATTATTGCACTTAATTAAGGACGCCATCTTGCAGGGAATGCGCTCCCGCAACAAATCGCGCGTACGTTTCGTATCAATGCGCGCGCAAGACTGACATTTCCCGACAATAAGGATTTTAGGTCATATGAAAAGGATGCCCGAACTTCCCCCGTGTTCTCACGTTGCCTTGGTACACGTTTGTGTGGCATTATATTTTTACGTCACCGGACGTCGAGGCAGAAAACGGAACCAATTCGCCATACGAGGGTATGGGTAGTTCTCGTAGGGTCCTTCAAGAAATTAGCGTACCAATTCTTAAGAGGCCGGCAACGCACTTTCGAGCTCTCTGGCAACATATCTATCATATATTTTTGAGCGAATAAATACCTATTTAACTTCTTCAATAAAATTAGAAACTTCTTTCACAGACCGAGAAGGACCAGACGATGAAGATGACCCAGATTACCTCATATCAGCAATTCCAGAGGACACCCTCCATATTCCGTACAAACCTCTGCGGAGGTCCACAGAAGAAGTAATTCAAAGGTCCAGAGAGTACTATGATCTCATGGCAACACGACGCACAGTGAGGAGCTTCAGTACGGAGCCAATACCTCCAGAAGTTTTAGAAAATATCATTAAAACCGCTGGTACGTTTCTCTTAATGATTAGAATAGTGAAGATAAATTGCATTTAGTCCCTATTTCATGTAATAAAATACTGCATATAAATAGCGTAGATTTTATGTCAGAACACTAGACAGTGAAGCCACTTACATTAAGATCAGACAGGGAAATATTAATTGTGATATTGTGGTTCTGTTCTAATTGTCTAGTCAACCAATTGTAAAATCAGTAACAATAATAAATATCACCCTATTAGGCTAATTATATGAAAATATAAAACAGCATTGAGAATGGCATTGAATCACGCTAGTGCATAGTTTTTCTCAATATAAATAATTGAATTTAACAACAACACATTCTCAAAGTTTGATGCTATTTGTATAGGATATACATAATTCATGATCTCTAACATCTCTCCATCCACCCAAATTTTTGTTTCGTGGCTTCTTTAATGGGTGGGGTATGGTGTATGAGACTGTCAAAGGGTACAAGAACTTTGAAACCTGCTTTGCGAATTTTTGAACTCTGATAACTTTTTCCACCTCGTGACAATACGTGTCATCACTGTTTTGACAGTTCTCAAATCTAAACACTCTTGCGCTTTTCACAGATGCAACAAATAATGTTTTGTTCACCATATACTTGCTTATATAAGCAAGAGAGTTGCTCCAGCTGTAATCGTCAAAACGACAAAAGAAGTCGGACAGTTTTTTAAGTTTATCCCAGAGAGTTCTGTTAAAAACGATTGCGATATTATCGTTGCTTCCCCAAGATTCTATGTCTAATCGGGTGTCATTAACATAATAATCTCTTATTTTTGGAAAACGGGGTCCTAAAGTTATCATATTCCAATGAGGATAAATATTAGGCAACGTCTTTTCTAATAACTTTACAACAAAAATCAAATCTTCAGTAACGTACTGGTCCTCTTCTAGGAAAACAATGTTTCCGTTATAATCCTTGGTCGCTTTAAGTCTGTCGAATACTGTACTAACAGTCCACCACCAGTGATGTTTGAGTTGTGTTTTCTCGGGATCTCTATACATGACATTGACGTCGCAATTTATAAAATTTTTGCTACAAAATTTTAAATCTGGGCCAGGAAACACATGGGGATGCATCTGAATATTGTAGGGATAAAATATTTGCATATATTTAGTGAAATAAGTATTCTGGATGATCGCTGAAGTTTCATTATCAAAATAATCGTGTGAAAAAATGATTAGGCATTTAGTTATACCTTTAACTTTCTCTAAAGACTGTAAAAGATGTTCCAAGTAAAATGATCTATCGTGTACTTGAATAACAATAATAAGGGTTACATTAACAATATACGTATCTTTATGGTGGATTTCTTGTTCTTTGTTAATTTTTTCCAAGTGTTCCTTCAATCTCAGTATCTCATCTACATCAACGTCTTGCATATCTGGAGACATCTTTTCGGAAATATTTTCATCATCATACCAAGATTTTTCATCAAACCGTGTATACGACTGATTTTTTATTAATAAAATTAAAATTACCAATAAAATAAGCAACGACACGCTTAGTTTAAATTTGTAAATTAACTTGAAGAAATACTTTAATTTCATTTTATTACATAAATTTAAAAACAATTAAAAATTTTTTTGTTTAGAATCTGAATTATTAATTCATGACACAGAATATATCTTGTCAATATCACAGATAAGAGTAAAATATAATAGCCATAAAGAATTTCATAGAAAAGACAAATTAAGTCAACGCTTAGATTAAAAATCGTTAATAAATGCCTTTAGGTACATCCCCGTCTGGAGCACATACAGAACCCTGGACCTTTGTAGTGGTTCAGGACCCAAATGTGAAAGAAGCAATAAGGAACATAGTAGAAGAAGAAGAGGATCTTAACTACGCAAGAAGAATGTCTAGACAATGGGTTGCAGATTTAAAACCGTTTGCCACAAATGCTTCCAAACCATACTTATGTGATGCACCAGCGTTAATACTGGTTTTCAGGCAGACCCATTCAATGAGGGAAGACGGAAAGAAGCGTATGCATTACTACAACGAGATCAGTGTAGCTATTGCTGCTGGGATATTGCTGACAGCTGTTCAGGTATACATGGGCAAAAACTTATTTTGAAACCATAACCACACGATTTGTTTCACAGTTCATTTAACTAAGTCTCTTGAAAAACAAACGGGCTCCCAAGGAAGTTTACGTTTAAGAATTGTTTTGTCTGACGTTGTGTATATACTTATAATCGTGTAAATTAATACGCGCGAAGTGAATTTTGGCAATCTTTGATGATTTTGTTTAAAACTGATGTACAAGATCAAACAAATAATAATCTGCAATAAAGCCGAAGTTTTTTAACTTTTTTAAATTAAATAATGTTACAAATCAAATAAAAAAGGTTTCCACCTTATTAGGTTTTACATTTCCTTAGGTCCCGATTTTTTTGCAAAAGAGTTTATATAAGAATTTTCCTCTTTGTAATGAAATGGCTACCCAATTGGTAAAATGGATTTCGTTAATGTCCCGTATCTTTAAAAGAATGATTGGTATCAATGACACCATAATGACTCTTAATAGTAGACCTTAAAGTTTTGTATCATTTCAGTACTGTGGACTAGTAGCTCTCACGTCAACCCCATTGAACTGTAATGCGCGTCTTCGAGACCTTCTATCGAGACCTTCCAACGAGAGACTGGAGTTGCTGCTACCTATAGGGAGACCCCATCCAGATGCAACAGTTCCTGACCTCGAAAGAAAACGCTTGGATCGGATAATGATCAAAGTGTGATACTTTAATAATATACATTACCTGGCATTCGAGCAATGTTTAAGAAATGCTATTTGTCCTAGATCTGAATAATGCTCAATTTGTTTTATATTGTTCCTATGAAACTAGAGTTCTATGTTGGTTTTAAATAAATATATAAGAGATTTTATTTTAGAGTTATTTTTCTGTAATTGAAATATTTTCGTACTTATAACCTGCGATTAAATAAAATATTCTCAATAAGGAGCTGATTTTTTAACCGTGAAACAAAAATTTGTAAAATACCAAGAGAAAGCCTTTTTAATACGTTTTTGACATACGAGTGTTCTGTCGGAAGTTTCCTCACTTTTATTATACCTTGTAATGTTCGTGTAATATTTTTTGAACTTAACTCATACCAATGCCTAGGCTTACCCGTATCTGCTGATAGGTCACTCTCTTGTTAAACCAATTGTAAATAGTGGCACGAAATGGGACTTCATTAAGAAATGCTAATCGCAGCCATATATAGCTTTGTTGTTGAGTAAGCCCATAACGAAAGTCATTATAAATCATTGACCGAAAATTTTCTCGCGTTTTATTATTACATTATGTTTTTCTCTTACTATATTCACATGCGATAAACGCTCTCTTTTCGCAATCCAGTGCTTTACCCACACTTGTCGATTTTGTATTTTTTTATTAGTCTTTAAAATGTAGTATGATAAAATTCCCAAATAACACAAAGCTTCTTCTCTCGACGACATCGCGATATAGTATGAGCAAGCTTCACGTGTGTCACCGACGTCGAGCCTAGTAAGTTCACGATCTTAAAAACCGCGTACTTTAAGTTCGTACGTCTATCACCTACCATAGGTTCATTTTCACGTGTAACAAGATTAGATTTGCAGCCAATTCACAAAATCAAATGACAAATGAATGTAATAAATACTACATTAGGTTACCAAAGAGTTCTAAAATTGAAATTCAAGTTTTCATTAGCTTTCTAACTGGTCAGTTCTAAATATTTTCAGTGTTACCCACGTATAAGGGGCTCATATTTGGTAGAGGTACTTAACCGGGAACAAGATATCTTCCTGTATATTAATCCCGGAATCCCTGCTGGGGCTCACCTACTATTAGTATTATTATTAAGATTGCAAGAAGAATGCATCAGGCGTTAAAAATCATAGTCATTCATAAGAGCGGACATCAATAATTTATTCATAAAAATTAAACACTCCAAAAATAGGTTACAAATGGTTAACATCGGGGCTTAACGACATCCACAGCGGCGGTTTCGGCGTCTTTTGCGTCGACAGCTTCTTCTCCGGCGGCGGCGACTACAGCTGCGACGGCGTCGACGGCGTCGGCGCCGACTACAACTGCGCCTGCGTCTACGACGCTAAACAAACATAGAAAACTATACTTGCAAATCAAAACTGTCGTATTTGGCTACTTTTAAGCTAAGCTTGGTGCGTAATACTTTTAATTGACATTCCTATTAAAACTATGCAAGGTTCTTTCTTTCATTGATACTTTACTGGCTTCTAAAAAAGTAGTTTTTGTAGTAATAATTTGTAAATTCCTTTAAATCTTACACATGATCGACGGCGCCTCCGCCGACCGCAGCGGTCAACGGGCTCCTGCTTACGTGACTCGGGACGGGAGCGCTCGCCTTTTACACGGCAACTCCTTCGCAAGGACAAGATAATTAATTAATTTATTTATTTATTTAGTTAATAAGCTTATAACATCACACACAGTACTAAAATTACTAATTATTTTACAAAAAATCTCGCATCTAAAATGTGTGACAATTAATGTAAGCATAAGTTTCACAAAAAAAAAATTAAATAGAAATAAAAATTACAATTAAAACATATACGATAGTAAAAGCACACAATAAAATAAAATAAAATTACAGAAATTTGTTGGCACTTAGTGCAGAAAAAAAAAGAAAAATCATCATCAAAACAGCGAAATTAGGTTTGAGAAAGGCAACCCACAATGCTTTCTCTAAAACCGATCAGCCCACTACCGAATATATCCAGCTCTGGATACGCTGTGTTCAATTTGTTGAAATCGCGAAGAATTCGAACGAGAGGTACCTGAACTCCTAGGTTGGTTTTGGCAGAAGGAATTTGGAAGATATTGTTGATTTTAAACCTAGGGAATGAGTAAGGGACGACAAATTTGATTTCCTGTAAGAGGTCACTGCTCTGTATATAGTTATTGAGCAATTTATGCAAGAAGGTAACACCGGCTAGAGTTCTTCTATTGTACAGAGATATCATATTAAATTTTTTGAGTCGCTGATGGTACGGGTGCCTATGTGAAAATTCTCTGCTTATGAAAGCTAGGTGCCGCGTAAAAGATCTTTGAATGCTTTCAACGCGTTGCGAATGGATCGCATATGGTGGATTCCATATAATACTGCCAAATTCAACATGACTGCGCACCAGAGCGTTGTACAAAATTGTTTTAGTCGTACAACCAAAACAATCCGCATTCCGTTTAAGAAATCCAAGCATTCGTGTGGATGTGGTGACAACTTTATTGACTTGTGATGTAAACGTTAATTTTTTGTCAATAATAACACCCAGGTCACGAATCTCCTGAACCTCCTTCAATGGCGCGCTGTCAAGCTTATACACAGTAACAAGTGGTTTTTTTTTTCTTGTGTATTTAATATGAAAGCACTTATTTGTAACAATTAATCCATAACAAATAAAAACAGTAGTTGTATTATCGTCTCTATTACATACCTTTTGCTCCCACGATCGTCATCGTTGCCCACAAAGGCGCTGGAAGATACGAATTGATATGAGGACTCACAAATAATTAACATTCTTTGAAAACTGAAGGAGCTTTTAAGAAGTTGCAAATTTTTTAAAGTGACCTAAATAACAAGATTTACATGATCCGCGAAGTAATACCATTGCAAAAAAGGTAAGAATATATTGGTATTGGTTGTATTCAAAATCAGTATGTTTAGATGCATGCAGCTATTAAAAAAAGCTAAAACAGACTTCAAAATGCACAAAAACACTTTTTTGGCTTTTAATCATCAGTTTGCCTTTATCAATTTCTGCTTTCCAAACATTTGTTCTATGTGTCACGAAATCGATATTGTAATTACCGGGTTTAGTGGGTAAAGTGCGAGCACAAAAGACGCGAATTATAATCGTACAGTATTTAATATAAGTTAGATTGATTCCTTCTAACAATACAAAAAACAAAAACACTTTAGCTTAAAAACGAGACACCGATCTCACTTTTAATCACAATCTACTAGACCCAACTCGGTCCAATCTCTCATCACCACAATGCTCCAGTGAATATTCAAACACATCTGCTATGATTGGTCGTTACAAGATTAGACTTTCAGTAATGATTTTCAACTATGAATCAATGACATAACAACAAAACAAATCATAGAAGGAATTTCAAGGTCATTCCGATTTTTCATGCTAAAATACAATCGATTAATTTACCGAGAATGTCACATCTCTTATAATCAATAGAAAAGTAGAAAATGGCGGGTTCTTTACTATACATTTCACGAAACTAATTTTTTTTTTTTTTTTTGAAATAAGTATTTGAAGTCTAAGTAGAAGCATTTCCGGCAGCATAAATCACTTGGAGGTGTTCCAATCAAGGTGCCCGAGACTCCTGCATAATCAGTATCATCAGATTCGGGCGACTGATTTTAAGGTGCAACCCAATATACTCACTTGTCCTCTGCGTTTATGTCTTTTGTGTCTTCAGTTTTCTTCTTTGTTTTTTCATTCTCAGTATTGCGTCGCGCCTCATTGGCCCGCTGGCGCCTAAAAAGTACAAAACATCATAGAAATTCCAGTAGGAGGAATTAATTTCTTTAAAACATAAGAGACTAAACTAAAGGCTAACCTTCTTTTAACATCTAGGTAGGTCTTTATTCGAGTACAGTATTGGGGTATGTCATGTTCACTGCGCTTTAGTAAAAATGATATAACTTCATCATTTATCTTCTTTTCTTTGCTGTTTGGCTCTTCCGGCTCCATGCCGCCGCTACTAAGCCCTGACATTACCTGTAAGAGATGTATGTTCGTACCATGCCCCATTGGGCCATCCCAGAGATTAATAGAAAAAAGAGACAAGCAATTGAACTTTGAAATGCAATTCACTTAAGTTCTAAATCCCATTTGATAATAGGTATATATAATAAATATATAAGATTTAAACTTACCACAAACTATTCGGCGGTCTTCAAAACATTCTCGGTTTGTTTATAAATCTCGTTTAAAAAATAAATAAATATAAAATAAAACAGAAAAAAATTTAACACACTGACATCACACAATTTTATTTGAATGAAAATTGCATTCTTCTAAAAGTAAATTTAAATTGTGATCAGGCCAGTTACAATATTACATTTATATACAAACTTTTACATATTTTTACATGTAAATATTGCATTTTTGCTGGGGATACACATGCCAGTAAATCGGGAAAGTAGCTGGCATGAAAGTTACTGGCATGTACGAGTAATTGGAACACTGCGGATACATTTGCAAGTAGTACTGGCATGCATACTGTGCCCTTGCATGCCAGTATTACCATCGCGTATACACAGGACAGTTCGTGAGAGTATTTCGTACCTACCTATTCTTGCGCGCTAAACATGGATAACAATCGAAGTGGATTAAACAAATTTGTGTTGTTACTAGCAATTGAATGTGTAGCTAAATTAATGAGAGATAAAAAGAAAAAACGAAGACGGGTTTGGGTAAGAGAGTCGGCTACTGGCATGCCCGTAGCTGTCGCGTCTGTTCACACGTGCCAGGTTAGCAGTCCCCTCCTCAACGGGCATGCATGAAAATCAAATGTTGTGCTAGCTACTTGCAACTAGCTAGCTTCCAGTTACAGGCATGCCAGTTAGTGAATACACATGACTGTAGCTGGCACTTGCAAGGAGCTGGTATGCTAGTGTGCAAGCTACGGGCATGTGTATCCCCAGCTTTATACTTCTTTAGGCGAGTTATGAAAAATTGATGAGAGTGAAATTTAACGATACGCGCGCACCGTGACACAAAATTAACAACAAACACAACAAAAACAACAATCGGATAATAATAGAATTTATGTTACACTTAATGTAAGAGAATCGTAATAAATATTTATTTAATTAATTTTTCAAATGTAAACTGAACTGTATTGACTATAATGACTCCTTTTCCAGTCTTTGATTATTTAATTGTAATTAATTATTTGCCTGCAATCAAAAACTACTTTTAATAATGCCAAAGAAGTATAACTTATTACGCGCGTAAGTACACGCACCCTTTTTTTTTAGACGCATCTCACATCAACAAGTTTTATGTTATATGTTCTTCTAACAAATAAAAAATAGGGGTTGATCGTAGAGGGTATATAGAGGGAGGAAAAATAAAAACATTTTTTTTGTGTAAAATATAAAAACAATTTTTTTGGGGTGGACATGGACCTTATCAGTTAGAGGTTTGAAAGATAGACAGTAGCCGATTCTCAGACTTACTGAATATCCATAAAAAAATCATAAGAGTCGGTTGAGCCGTTTCGGAGGAGTATGGGAACGAACATTGTGACACGAGAATTATATATATGTATATAGAGATATTAAAAAACTATGTATGACAATGTCTACCGAATCGTTCGGTCGGATTCGTAATCTGAATCGGAATCGGTATTCTGTTGTGGGGAAATGCCGCCGATATTCAGACAATTTTTGTTTTACAAAAAAGGGCTATTCGTTCAATTTACAAATTAAGTCCCAGACACTCCCTCAGAGATAAATTTAAAGAAATTAATATAATGACTGTGCCTTCTCAGTATATCTATGAAAATCTTTTGTATGCTCATAAAAATATCAATTTGTCTAAAAAATTCAGTGACGTCCATAACGTAAATTCTAGAAACAAACACAAATTTGTTGTCCCTACAACCAGGCTTAAAAAAATAAGTGATTCGTTTAGATGCCAATGTATACGTATTTATAATAAACTACCTAGCCACATTCAAGAACTAAGCCTTAATAAATTCAAAAATAGTATAAAGCGGAAACTTTGTCAGAAAGCCTTTTATACTGTCAAAGACTATATTGAGGACAAAAAGGCTTGGGATTGAGCTGCTCCAATAAATTTGCACAATTAATGTTGATTTAAATACCTTTTTACATACTCTATGTACAATTAAATGAATATTTACTTTGTAAAGTATTATTTATACAATTTTGTATTATTGTGAATGTGAAGACTACGTGGATCATTGTTTTTTATTTATTGAATCCTTTTCTCAGTTTTAGTCATAGTCTGACAGTTTGAGTAATTTTCGCGGCCTACCCAAATGTCTTGTCTTTGGACTTGACAGGTCCACTCAATCTGTGTGGTTCTTTCCTCAAAAGACCATTTCAGACAACAATCTACATGGTCTTCACATAATCTTGTTAGTTATGTCTGGACTTTAAAAGAGACTGTGACCTCTGAGTTTGTTTCGGCGTTTCTTCTCAGAGTAGTCAGATAGGAAACGTCGATCTCATCTAGTTTAAAAAAAAAAAAATGTTTGACGTGTAAAAGTGTTTGTAAAAACCTACTTACAGAAATAAATCATTTATCATTTATTTATCATTTATCGTTCTTTGTGTTACAAAGGTTTTTTGTGACATACTTAAATCGTCTTTTAGAAATTTGCGTAAAATGTTAGGGTATGCATAACAAAGTAGATTTTGTTTGATTATTAATTTAAAGTTTATTTTATTTTATTTTATTTCAAAAGGCACACTAACGAAACACATACAAACACTTACAGAGAACACATAACATAGAAAACAAGATAGGTACATGCATGTGCATCAATAACAAGTGTGCACAACATTTAAAGGGAAACATTACAATGATTAAGAGAAAATAACTTCAACATTAAAAGTAAAAAACAAACTAGATTAAAAAAAATACAAACATGCAATTTACAAATACATATAAATAAAAAACAATAATTTTCAACTTTGCAATTATCACTATTGGTCATGGGTCAACATTGGCTGCAGCATCTTACGCCTGAAGACATGGAGACTGTCACTAAATGGATCTGCTTGGCATGTACTCAGAGCGTCGTTTAATGTCGATAGAGATCTGTGTAGAGGAGCATTACAACCGACGTTGGTCCTCACTGCCCGAACGTAAAAAAGGATTGAAGTTTTTCTTGTGTTCCTCTTTAAGAGGAAGTTAACTTGACTTAAAACATTAGGTAAATCTACCAAGTTATTTAAAATTTTGAAAACAAATATAATGTCGATAATTTTGAAGGCTTATTAATTTCTTTGGCTTCTAGAAACGCTATTGAATAAGGTGCACTGTACCGATTGTAGAACAAATAACATTTATTTGATAATAATGAGCAATTGAAAGGTTTGGTCGGATAATCCTCAATTCGTCCTTTATTGATTGAAATTTATTTATTGAATACAGTGACAGTTTAGTTTTATTTCGTTCAAATATTATTATTGTCAGTATTAGTTATTATTTATAAAAATCTAGTAAAGGCTATTTTTATTTCTAAACTAATACATTAGACGTGTACAATTGAAATGCCAAGTTAGCGGACATCAATATTTTATTCATAAAACACTCCAAAAATCGGTTACAATTGGATAACATCGGGGCTTAACGACGACATCCACAGCGGTTCTTGCGTCTTTTTCGCCGACAGCTTCGTCTGCGGCGGCGACGGCTACAGCTGCGACGACGGCGACGGCGGCGGCGCCGACTGCAACTGCGGCGGCGGCGGCGGCGACTGCAACTGCGACGGCGGCGCCTTCTGCAACTGCGGCGGCGACGACGTCTGCGCCTTCGACGCTATACATACATATAAACATAAATAAAAAAAAAATTTCAACAGAAAAGCGGGATCACCAAACGAAATGTTACATAAAACGAAGCCATGTGGTGGCGAAACGGAGTTCGCCGGGTTTGCTAGTGTTCTTATAATTTAATCATCTCATAACTTACAGACACGAATTAGTTACTTGAGTTGAATACATAAACACAAAATATAACACTACAATGTTCTATTTAGTAATTATATACTTTGTAGATTCCTTTAAATCTTACACACGATCTCCGTCGGCGCCTGCGCCGGCAGCAACGGTCTGCGGGCTCCTGCCCACGTGACGCAGGGCGGGCGCGCTCGTCTTTATCACGGCGACTCCTTCGCAAAGACAAGACAATGATTCAAATACATAAGAAAATGGCGTGGTAGGAGTTATAAAATTATTCATACCTGCTGACACGACCGCCATCGTTACTGAAAAAGCCGCTGAAAGAAACAAATTAAAATGAACAAAATAATCATGGCAATTACATATTATATTAAAATATATGCAGTGTGCCGGCAACGCACTTGCGAGCCTTCTGGCAGTGTGAGTGTCCTTGGGCGGCGGTATCACTATCAGGTGAGCCTCCTGCCCGTTTGCCTCTTATTACATAAAAAAGGTGTTTATGAGCATAATACTTTTCGAAACAAACCTAAAATATGTATGTGTAAAAACATGCGTTTTTTTTATTAAGTTTCGTAAATTAATCGTGTTGTATATATTATGTATTCCATCTTTGGCTATATCTTTAGTATAAATGTTGTTATAATAAAGTACGCTGTAACGATATAAATAAATAACAAAAGAATGACCCACTCAATGCAGTAACTTTCTTTTATAGTGCTTCATAAGAAACACGAATATCCACTACATATTCCTTCCATAGTTTTTCATTACTTTGCCTTTATCAAAGCTTTCCAAATCTTGATTTTGCGACTTTACATTGTGAATATTCATAAATAGGTAACAGCCTTCAGTAAACTAAGAAGAAAAATATACTCACGTGTCCTCTTTTGTCTCAGTCTCAGTTTTCTTCTTTGTTTTTTCTTTCTCAATATTGCGTCGCGCCTCATTCGCCCGCTGGCGCCTGAAAAAATAAAAAATCTACTCCTTACTTCCAGGACTGGAAGTACTTATTTATGTCTATAAATATATTTTTTTAAATGTAAATACCATCGGACGTCGTGGAAAAATACGATATTCCACCCATAAGGGTGTCGCTCCACAACTGAGCATTTTTTAGGGCTGTTTTAACCGTTGTAGAACAAGCTGCCTACTGAATTATTTCCGAACCAATTCGACTTCAAGAAAAGAGCGTACCATTTACTTAAAGGCCGGCAACGAACTCGCAAGTCGCAATCCCTCTGGCATTGAGTGTCCATAAGGGGCAGTATCACTTAACATCAGTGAGCCTCCTGCCCGTTTGCCGCCTGCTTCATAAAAAAAACAAATCCCTTGCTTACTTTCTTTTAACATCTAGGTAGGTCCTTATTCTAGCAGTGTATCGAGGCAGGTCATGTTCGCTCCGCTTTAGTAAGAAAGACTTGACGTCATCGTTTATCTTGTTTTCTTTGATGTTTACCTCTTCGGGCTCCATGCCGTCGGTACTGAGCCCTGACATTATCTGTCAATGTTGTGTTGAAATTAAATTAAATTTTCTTTATGAAAAACTACGAGTATAAGAAAAACATTTCTCTTATGTTTGTTTTTGAGATATGCAGGCCGGACAGGGTCGGAAAATTATTATTTGAGAATCACCGCGTGTCTAAAAACACCTAGAACTACCAAGTTGCTTCAGAAGACTTCGTATATGAGATAAAAGTTAGCAACCTAAATAAAGTCAGACTTAAACTATAGACATTGTTGGGGCGATAAGGTTGCTTTCTGACTAGTATACCTACTATTTTAGTGCAATGAAACGACAGCTTCGCACTCGCACGCTACTTAATATTAAAATTACAAACATATGAATGAACAGACATAATTGCTATTATATTATATTTATATTTTTTTCCAACATACAAAAATACAGTAATTTACTCTTAACCTACATAGTAATAATAATAATGAAAAATGGATAAATAGAAAATAGAAAATTAAAACAAATTTAAAAAGTTTGGTCCCTGTGGTGTACAACGCTGGCAGTAATTCCTCGCTGTATTGCGATACTGAAGCATTAAGCGAGGAAAGCACCAACCCTGGGGTAACCGGTGCTATCTACCAGACGCCTACCTATCTTTAATTAGCGCCTGTGCACTTGAACTCCACGGCCCAAGAGTCTCTACTCCAAAGTGAACAAAATCCAAGTTGGAGGAAAGACTCTTTTATTTGAGCCGTTTATTATTATCCGCCTGCTCTGTGCTTGTCTGCGGGAGGTGAGACGAGGCTATCGCTTCCACACAAGAAGCTAGTTGCTAATTTATATTGAGACAAAATTAATTTAAAAAACCTAAAATAAACTTACCACAAATTAATCGGCAGTCATCAAAACATTTTGGTTACTATTAAATTTCGATTTAACAATAAATAAAAATAAAATAAAATAGAAAGATATCTAACACGTTGACATTACAAAATTCAATTTCATCTGATAGAAAATTTTACAACACATTTAAATAACGTGGCCAGTTATAATTATAATATATATAACCTCTTTACATACTCTTTACTGATATTCTATCTACCAGTTATTAATAGGCTAAGTTGGAATTTATCCTGCAGTGTGAGGCAGTGTTGGTTTAAGCGACTGATCGCGTTCAGATAAAAGTGCACTAATTAGTTTTCCTTCAGCGTCATGTTAAATACGTACTTGTACAAAATGTGATCAAATAGTGAGTTGCTGGAAGTGAACCCAAGACCAAAATATGATTATAGCGACATTGTATTATTATTATCATATCATTGTTATAGCAGGATCTCACCATAGCATCCACACATAATTATCTTTATGATTAAACGTCTCCTAAACAGCTGGACCGATTGTTATGTAATTGGTGGTGTTCAAGACGATTCGATAATGGTTTAAATTTACAATTATGTTGTTTTTTTTTATTCATGACGTGCGTACAGGGCAAAGTCAGTCCAGTCCATTTCTTCAATTTATATAAAAAAAATATACACTTTATATAAATGTGTAAGTTTTATTTAACAGGTGAAAAAGAAAGAGACTCTTATTTATTATTTATTTATTAACACTTCGTTGCATATACATAAATATAGTACAATTGACATAATTAAATAAAAAGGAGAGCAATTTACTTATTAGAGGCCTTATCGCTTTCGAGCGATCTCTTCCAGGCAACCACTGTGAGAAAAGAAAAAAAAGTATTAACACGTTCGTTGCATTACGAGATCTATCAGATCTCTTGCAGGACTTTTGTATTGTGCGTTGAACATAATCGTGTTTTTTCACTCCTTGCGGGAGGATGTAACTTGTAAAGTTCTTTAAGGATGAGCAGGACAAATATACATATTTGCTTCCTACTTAAAGCTGAATTCAAGGACTTTAAGAAATAAATTAGAGATGGATTAGGTCCCTAACGCACAGTACTGTAATTGTTTTAATTTCTTGCGTTAGGAGATATGTCGGTACTCGTGAAATCGTACGCAAGAGATGGAGGATGGGATTTTTAGTGTTGTCCTAGAATCGACATTCGGGAAGTCGCGGGCACGTTTTGGAAATAACACTCGCGTATATACCAGCGTGTTGATTATTTTTGATAAACAATGAGTGATTAAGTTTAAAAGAAAAAAGTGTAAAAAATCTATTTTATTGGTGAGGTTTCTAACAAAAAATCAACGCCGGATTATACTGCTGCATTGTCCAGTAAAATATTTGTTTTAGAAAATGTTCAAATTTGCCCCCCATTGACTAATAATGACAGTGATTCTGATTATGAAATATTTAACGATAAACCTTTTTCGTTGGAGCACACGCAGTTAAACAGCACTGACGCTTCTAAAAAACTAAACGAATTGTTACCATTTGCGCGTAATGTGCAAGCAATCAATGTGCTTACCATGTTTTAATGAAAAACACTTTGCATAATTAATAAAACTTTTGGAATCGATAACTGAGATATTATTTTATTCCCATCACTACTTACTACACATATTGAACTATCTTCGGGTGCGGTACGAGATACAATCGATATCTAATTTTTTTTTGGTATTTGTAGTTTATTCAAATGTCGTAACTGCGTGCGAACCTAGCAAAATATAAAGCAATTAGCTATCTTTCACCCACAAAAAATTCAAAATATATGTCATTGTTTTTTTGGAAGATATAAATTATTTTCAAAAGTGTATTTTTAGGAGACTGATTAGGTCTCCAACGCACCAGAGGATAGGCTTGTTACGAGATCTTTTAGGTCTCCAACGCACCAGCTGAAAGTTCTTTAAAAATGATGGCGCAGTGAACGTGTTAAATTACATAAGGTAGGCAAGAAGTGCAAAAATACTTGTATTACATATAGTTGTTGAGAAAAAGAAACTAAACAGGAACAAAAAAACAAACTAATAAAGGACACACGAAAAAAAAATTTATACCTAATAATAAAAAGTGTACATGAATCATTATAATTTAATTTAAGATCAGTCTCACGTCAGTTAGTGGGAATTATTAAAGTTATACGATGTGGACAGGTAATGTTTGTACAGAAGAAATGTAAAGGAAGATAGAGAAGGAGCCAAGCGAATAGGGACTGGAAGTGAATTCCATAGCCTAACTGCAGAGACCTTAAAGGACTCGCCAAGAAAGGAGGAGTTATGACACAGGATTTCAAGGATATAGTTTTCGGAATAGCGTAAGCTATAGTTAGACCCCAAAAATTAAAATTCATTTTTGAGATAGGAAGGAGTTTTAGGGTTGAACAGGATGGAATGTAACCAGCCTAGCCGCTTCCGGAACGCAGAGATATGGTCGTCCCTTCTTAGACCGAATATAAATCGGATACAGAAATTTTGGAGACGATCCAGTTTATTTAGCAACTCCTCGTTTAGATCGGAAGAGCAGGAATCGGCGTAGTCCAGTAATGGCAGGAGGACTCTTCATAGTAATCAGGTAAACAATAATGTTTCTCTAAGTACTATTATAAAAGACAAAATCTTTTTTCTAACTCATAAACATAAACATTTTCTTATTTACACTAGGAGTTTTGATTATTAACTAGCGGACCCGACCGACGTTTTCTTGTGCTGTGCACACATCTTAAGGCTATGTTCACATGTAACGCGCGTTAACGCGCGTCAACGCGCGATCAAATTTGAAGAGCGTTCAGATGATGAGCGCTAACGCGCGTTGCGAGAGTACTCGTCAGTCTAGTTCGGTAGAACGTAGAAAATGGACGTGGAAGAGGCTATTATTTTGTGGTTATATTATAAAGAAAAATATAGAAAAAGAAAACGTACACATTGGGTTTATCCAATTTTGAAAAAAAAAATACAATTTATATTATATTTTTTATACAAATTTGCTATATTCCAACTTGCTGACCTTTTTTCTACTTCATCGATTAGTAAGTCGATGTCAATATCTTCAATTTCACTCATTTTAAAAGCGAGAAAAAAAATATAATTACGAAAATTAATAAAATTACATGCGATCGCGATGAAAGCGCGCGCTCATCTGAACAGCAAACGGACATTACATTAATATCAAAGCGCGCGTCAACGCGCGATCACCTGCGTCTAGAGACTTTTTCTCTGAGCGCCGCGTTGACGCGCGTTAACGCGCGTACATGTGAACAGTTGTATGAAAAATACCATAATCTCTAGTCGCGCGATTTGAAAACGCGCGTCAAGTTTTTGCCATCTGAACATAGCCTAAATTCAAAATTCCAAACTTAAAAAAATCAACCAAAACCATCTAATTGTAAATAATGTGAACTTTTCTCGAATCCACTTAAACACTCGGCCTACCCATTTATTGCATTACGGCTTTCTCGGGAAAGATTCAATCGTTTTGTTCGTGGCATCTTTAATGATAATATCGGCATGATAATCTAATAGAAACTCGAAATAAACACATCAACCGATCAACTTTAAAACTTCTAATTTTCAATACTTCTAAATTTCATACTTAACCATACTTTAGCTGTCAGTTGCGTTTTGTAATTTTTAAGAAATTAACGGCTAGACTGATGTTTTGACTTCTGTCTGTTTGATTCCTTTTGTTATACCACGTCCCACGTAAACAGGATAAAAAGTATCCTATGTCCATCTCCTGGTTCTAAGCTACCTACCAATTTTCTGCCAAATTGGTTCAGCTGTTCTTGAGGGATAAAAAGTGTAACCAACACTACTTTCTTTTACATATAGGTTAAATGTTTTAGTAGCTTCCGGCCACCTTCGAGCTCCATCATCAGAGAAGCTCATCTCTTTACTAATTCCATATATATATTTCAAAATAAAGTACCCAAAAAGTGTGTAAAATTCTGCAAATGAATATTGGACCTTGGATCGCCCGAATGGTCTTCATAAGTTTTGGCTCAGAACCATTTTGTTCTTCTTTAGATTTAAAAAAAACATCCACATTGAACTGGTCCACTACAATCCCACAGATACACAGACACAAACCTATCAAATCAAACTTATGGCGAGATTTTTTTTTCTTTCTGTGTGCCCTACACAGACGCTATAAAAAAATGATAAATGTTAATATGTAAACAAATCTGAAACGAGCCAGTAACATTACACGTTCATTTATTTCCATTTTAAAAATGTAGGTTAATGGGATTTCAGCTCGGAAGCATTAAGAAAGTAGGTATAAATAATACTAATAATCTCACATAATTAGCGTCTTTTTTGCCTTTTATATAAGATCTATTATTCACCGACGTATGAAGCGGAGAAATTTAGGTTAAAAATATATCCGCTTCGGAAATATTCGGTAGTAACCGCGCGAGAGAGCTGCAGGCCGCCCGCCTTACGATATGCGCGCGCGCTTGGGCGGCGACTGCTCCAATACAACTTACAAATTCTCTATGAAATAAACACTTGTTCGTTCCTTATACTTTTAATGTTAATAATTTAGCGCCGGATAATTCAAAGCCCCCCCCATTCGCCTCCATCTTTCCATTATGTAATAAAACGGAAGTTTAAAATAGTTATTAAATTCCAAACATCGTTGCATCGAACGTGAAAGTGTGTGCGTGTTAATCTTTAGAAATAGTGCCTAGATTTATTGAGTGATTTAGTTGGAACGTTGGTGGAAATACCAATCAACGTGAAAAGTGAATCTTGCGGTTATCATGATCAGATGCATACAACGATACATTCCAGTCATAGGGCCCTGCCCAATACGTTAACAGACGCGTTTATTTCCATTTATAAATAGTCGTAGACATCCGCTATGACGTCACCAAAGGAAAGCAGTGACGTTATCGATTTCAAAGAAGAAAGGGCAATATCTACAGAGCCAAAGGACTTAACAGACCTTCCTCCTAGCGGTACATCTTTACACAAGCGGCGGAGGGGTGAACCTCCCGCCACGTTGACCGTCAAGTCCCCGCAAACTCCATCCGATGCTGAGGGATCCTCGCCTTGCACTGCCGGTCCTACACCACCCGACGAATCCTGGGGAATACCCGACGATACCGACGTCGAAGGAATCTGTGATCGTATGTTACAGAGGCTTAAGGATAAAGATGATCCTGCTTCAAAATGCGGAAAAGATATCGCAAAGCGAACCAAAGATACTCTTGAAGCCCTTGATCATTTAGAAAAACTGTTACAACTTCTGAATCAATTTGTAAACTTAAAGGAGAAAAACAATAAAATTATCAAAAGATTGAATGACGTCAACAGTCTGATACGGCTGCACAATGCGTATAAACGGATAGATCAAGAGAATGAGAACTTAAAGAATGAAAGTAGAGAAATAGAACTTATAAATGAGGCATTGGACGCAGAACTAGAATGCGAGTATGGCCAGGCACTGTTTGACTCTATTTTAGGGCGAACGATGAAAAGGTCAGGGTCGAAGTGGAAGAGTCATGGAAGATTTGGTGGATCATTGTTGAGAAAACAACGATCCAGGTCAGCAGGTGGTGAAGATAGTGACGCGCCGCTAGGGATGCCCCTCAGGAGGAGATCGGATGGTGTTTTTCCTAAAGAAGTAGAAAAGTCAAAAGTGTCGAACTGGACTAGAGTGAAGTCTGCTTTTAAGTAAGTAATCAACGTGTCTATCGTTTTTTCTGTTTCTTTCGTTTCGTTTATTGAAAATTTATAAATACTACTTTTGCGTCTACTCTTATATCCATTTTGAATTACTGATAATGCAATCTTCGAATATTGAATAACTGGGCCGCCAAGTCGAGCACAAAAGCGGCACGGCCGTACCATCCGTCGCTCGAAGCAGTTCAGACAGACCGAGTTCAATTAGCCAAGCAGGCATTGTATTAACACGGTATATTTCGAATCTTATTCAATATGAACCAGTCGTTTAAGAATTATAACTATTCAAAGTTCTTATTTTGTCACTGACTGACTGACCGAACATCAAAACTCTAAGGCACTTCTATCAGACATAAAAGCATCAAATTTAGATTACAATTAGTGTATAAATCAAGGAACAACTAAAAACACAAAGTGCATTAACCTTTTTGTTACTTATATTTGTTAATAGTTACGTCCTCAACTTATAATTTTGCTCTGAGTGTTTTGTGAACTATTATGAGGCAAGGTATCAGTAGGTTATCAGTCTAACCTCTCTTATTGTACCCAAACTAATATAATTTCTCCATATCCTTACGACTGACAATATTTGTGTTCCTTTTTTTTGGTATATTTCGAAGTGAGGTATGTACCCAGCCATGCGATTCTGTAACTCACTTTTCGAACTCACGAAAAGGTGGGCTTGTAGTTTATTGTCTATCAGAATGCCAAATCATAAAATGACTGCTTCACGACTGATTTGAGAGCGACCGCCGATGCGAAAACCGCTGTGTGAGTTCGAAAAGTGAGTTACAGAATCGCAGGGCAGGACTTATAATTTTAGTTTAAAATTGTGTATTGACGGCCACCGTTCTTTGTGGTACATAATTTTTTTATGTTGGGTATTGCATGTATGACCTTTTTAAGGAAGAAGAACTGAGCTCAGAGAAATTGTAGATGCATTGTTTTCTTTTATTAATAGTTATCAATTAAAAATATATTGGGTATATTTTAAGAAAAGTTACGCTCTTTTCTTGAAGGTTTCTCAGTCGAATTGGTTGGAAATACTTTAATGGGCAGTTGGTTCTCCATAGTGGTGGTGCGCAGCAAAAACTGCCTTAAGAAACGCTCTACGCTACGCCAGTTCAAAGTCGTACGCCAAATAAGTCGCTGCTGTTTGTTCTTTAATATATATATATATATATTTATAATAGTTTAGAGAATAGTTTTAATAACAGTAAAGATTTGGGAATATCGTAAAGTTTCTTCCATATACCCCACGTTTGTCACAAACGTATTGATAAAATTCAATTCTAGCGCTTAGCATGCATTTGATTGTATTTCTGTTTATGCATCCAAGAAGGAGGAGTTCTGATTATTCTGATTTTAATTATTTCTTGTGCTAGTCAAAGCCTAGCATTTTTAACTAAGTATACATAAAAAGTAAAAAATAAAACTATTTTTTATTCTATCATTTAAAATCCCTATAAACCAGTAGGTTGGGCGGATGGGCACATAATTAAATTTAAATATTATTTGGGACAGAACTTTATAAATGGGATTTTTATATTAGGTTATATTTGATAAATTTAAAAAGAAACCTTTTTATAGATGGGAAAAAGCACAATGGCCGACTTCTACAATTGGAGGAGTGGCAGCGGTAGCAGCAGGGGCAATGGTAGGTGCTGTCGCCCTCACTGGATCCTCTCCATCCGCTCCAGGTTTACCCAACCCCGAACCAAGGGATTCTGCCAGTTTGACACCAGGAAGTGCTATGTCATTAACTCCCAATTCTTCTTGTGAAGAGTTGAGATTGGAGTCAGGTAATAAAAATAACCATAGGACCGATTAAATCTCGGTTTAAGAAAAGCAATAAAAACATCCGCAGTTTTTTTACGTTTCCCCGGAAATCAAGTCCAAAACCTCAATGTTTAGTATATTAAATAACCCAAGTGCGTCACTAAGTTACCTGACTGTAACCACATATTATATGTAGCTTATAAAATTATAGTTTCCGGTAAAAATAAAAGGAGTGACCAAAAATTGCTATAAAATTATAGAAATAATTGTTTAATTTATATTAATTTAGCCTCATTTATACCTTGAAACATTAATCCATATTTACCCTTAAAATTTTATACAGCCATATTTTTTTTCTAAGAACCTCTTATAGAGTATAGGCCTCCTTCAACTGGATCCATATCTCTCTATCTTGAGAATTTTTCGAAAAATAACTATGAAAAACAAATTGTATTAATTCATTGATATTAATTTCTTTTTGATTAGTTTTCTTTATTGGCTTTGGCTTTATTCTTTGTATCTTACTGATACTGTTTTTCCGTGTAAGGCCGTTTCTCCACTGCTCCGGTCCGGCAAACGTTAATTACCGATCCGATTTAGAAACTCACAACAGTACTTACGTGCTTCTCCACTACTCCGGCATCCGGTTTTTAACGATCCGATAACTTGCTAGATCGGAACGCGGTGTTTTATCGGTCCAAGTATATCCAAGAGGTTATAAATTATTATTCACAGGTTTTCTTTAATTTGAAAGAATCTGGATAACCTGGACCAAACCAAATTATGTTGCAATTTATTTATATTTTTATACCATAGTATTAGTGAATTATTTATTAAGTAGATTATAATATTTCAAGATAGACAATATAAAAAAGTAATAACTAGCCAGGGCAATAAAATATTCAGAATTTAGAACGTTTTATTTATTAAATTAAGTATATGGGTTTTAGTTAATATAAGTGTTGCATGATAAATATAAAAGTATCGATTATTGTCGGATCGGATATAGTGGAGAAGCGCAATCCGGCCTTCCGATATTTTTCTCATGGCTCATTCCGGTATCCGACGTCGGTTCGGAGCAGTGGAGAAAGGGCCTTATAATGTTATGTAAGAGCACATAGTAAGTTAATTTGTAATTGATATCGTAACCAACATCTTTTCACGTTTTTTGTTTAATTTTACAATACATTTTGACTGGCCCTTATCTACGCGTTTATTTAACGTGTTTCCATATTAAAACGTTCATAATTATTTGTATTTTGAGTAACATATATATGTTATGGTTTAGGTATGTCAAGAAAAAACCCAATGCTAAGGTTGGATGATAACGATAACTCGTTTTTACATGCACCAATGCAAGTAAGTACTAAATTTCAAAAGATATAAAAGACTTTGGAAAACGTTTCTTCAGCCTTTGGTCATCATTATAAATTTGGCAACACCAAATTGTGGTTTCCAAAAGTTGGAGTCATAATTTTACTCAAATCGCTTTCTGTGTCTCTAAAATCTTATGAATTTCCTCAATTTCAAGAATTTTCTTCATTCTGAAGTCAAATAAAGGTGTTATTATGCTTTATTGATTCCTGGAAATGTTGAAATAAGTATTGACAGGAATCAGATTCAATTGTTTTTCTATTGCACCAATCACAGACTGTAGTTACATCTCTATCTATAAATATAAAATTTCATATATTTTAGGATGATAGTTCAACTTCCCCATCTCCTAACAAGCTTCATAAAAGCCGGTGGGGTAAAATGCGGAATATCATACAGACACACAAGGAGTCTGTGAAGAAGAAGCGACCCCCAAAGTCACCAGATCTAGTTCCTGGGAGACGAAGATCCTTCAGCGATGGCGGGGATAGCGATGCTCCACCCGCCTTGACTCTCACGATTCCGTCATCAGAAGAACTTGGTATGTTACGATTATTACCACTACTTAAGAGATCTCACCAATCAATGGAAAATGTAAATAATCGTATTAGAAGAAAATAATATGAAATAGCTAGCTGAAAACTAGCTAACCGATTAAATCACGCTAGCTAAAACTAGCTGCTGTGGTCTCTGACAGAATGACCAGCGCTGTGGAACAGTCTGCTCCTCAGCATAATGCTGAGCCAGGGCCACAGCACAGCACACACGCATTACATAATTAAAACGTACCGTGTTCTTTAAAAGAAAAAAAATTGTTCTATCATTCTTTTTTATATTTTTCTGATAATTGTTATTGTGTTTGTTTTGTTTTATGTCTAAAATAACAATCTTTTTTGACATACATCATATTTAAAAAAATATATGTAAATATTAAAATGTAAAATGAAAAAATGTATTCGTGATGGTGCTTTCTATTATTTTTTTTTAGTTAAAGAAACAAATGAAAGTTTAAATATTATACATACACGCATTATATTAATCATTAAAAATTAATCCACTCCTGTAGAACACCGCCATTTCTCTATTTAGATTTCTTACTATCACAAATATGTATTATTCCTGTCTTAGATAAGCTATCAACTTAGCAATTTTCATATTAAAGTTCTCAAAACAATTTTGCATATCATTTATTTAAGTTTTAAAATATAAACCTGTATACTTATAGAGTCCGAAGGACCCCAGCCGGCGCTTCGCAAGCAGAGGTCACTAGAGCTTGGTGCTAGGCCTCCGCCGCGCCCAAGAGACTCTAAATGGAGTCGTGTCAAAAGAGCCTTCCTCACACATGCAGCCTCCGCCTCCGTACCTTCAAGTCCTAGTAGACACTCTGCATTCTTCACTGACCCAGGTAGGTAAAGCTAAATCTGTAAGATTTGCTCCAGGAATTAACACCAAACCTTGTTCATAAGCCGCATATCAGTGAACTTGGGGGTTTTTCAACTTAGGGGGAATCAATATTATTGGGTTTGTAGGAGGTTCAATTATTCAGAGCAGTGTCTTCCAACCATTTTTGTGGCATGCTCAGCTTTAGATTTTCTAAAATTCTTATGACCAAAATGGAACATGCATAATTTTTAATATAAAAAAAATTGAATTGTTCACTTAAAACAGTATAGTTTACGACACAGTAAATATATTTTCAAAACATAATATTTCAAATAATTTTAATAAATTTTCGAATCAAATTGCGTCCCTGTGGGGCGTTGGAAAACACTGATTTAGATGGATTTTCTTAGGATGGAGGGAGTTCTTTATAAAATATTTTTTTCACTCAAGATCCTATACAATTTAAGCCTAAAACCCAACCAACAGACTAAACCAAAAATAAACTCCAAGTGTAGCTATAACTGAAATATCAAAAGGCTTTGATACTCCAAGATCGAAAATTTTATACTTTTTTATACTATCTGAATGAATGTTTGATACATATTTGAAATTACCTCAGAAATCGAATGTACAACAAAAACTTTAGGGGTTTTAGTCGATAGGTCCAAAGGGGAACATTCTGGAGAAGATGGCATCACTGCCGCATACCGTAACACATTAATTTTGTTTTTGTAAAAATTACGACTTTTCTTAAATTATTTCAGAATTTGATCAATGAATTTTTAATGAATCCATGCGAAATTGCGATTAATGTACTAACAAAACCTTGAAATTGTTTCGAATACTTAACAATTATAGTTACAATGTAACTATTCGCTACAATTACAAAATAATAAACTAAATATATTTGATTATTGATGCCAAGGCTTCTCATGACGAACATTGGAAATCGATTTGACTACTAAAGCCCACTTAAGCCGCCTGACTAACGTTACCAAAATATCTCGTAAACAAACATTATGCTATTTAAAACCGCAAAGAACTAAACGATTAAATGTTATTAGGAAATTTAGAATTTAGTACTGTTCTAACGAATTCCAACGCGTTTCAATATCGTATACTACGTATATGTAAATTTTAACAGACTTAAAAAACAGAAGAAAAAAAAATAAGCCTTTAACCAAATAATTAATTTAATTAGGCCTATTAAAAAGACACTTTTGAAAGTCAAAATAAAGAAAAAACCACTCTAGTTGCCCCTTCCAAAAGGTAACCTACCTACATATGGAGAAGAATTGACAATAAACTCCATACCTACTCTTTTAATAGTTTTTTATAAAATTTTGTATACATTAATTTGATTGTCATATGTGAATACCATGTATCTCGATTATCTGATACCTTGGTAATACAAAACCAATCAATAGTAATATTGTTGTTAAATACTTTTTAGTGCATTTTGGAGTCAATTTAATAAATAAAAAATGTGTGCGTGTACTAGGTGTACACACGTAAGAAGTGAAACTTATATAAAACCTTTGTTGTACGCAGAGCCATAATTGGTTTGTTTTTAGTTTAGAGGTCCGAAACTATTTCTTTAAACACAGTAAATTTTGATACACTGCCTAGCATACAATTTACAAATTAATTGCTGCTAATTGCGATTAGCAAATTTCAAGTCGAAAATGTAATCCGTTGTCAAAAACATACTATATGTCATATTTTAACGCCGATAAAGAAGTTTGACTTCAAAAATGTAATCCGTTGTCAAACTTCAAAGTCAAAAACATACTATATGTCATATTTTAACGCCGATAAAGAAGTTTGACTTCAAAAAGCAACATGGCGCGTAACGGAAAAATGTGACGCGTAACGCAAAAATGTTACACTAAATTTTTTTCCAACCCCGATAAAGAAGTTTCACTTCAAAAACATGATTTTATTGTATGTTTATACTATAGATCGACTACAAATTCTTTTACCATTAGAATTCTTTATCCATGAGTAACAAGCCGGTAGACGGTGAACAAGACATACTCTTTTATCGGTTAATACAAATAAAAACTTTTCTCGAATCACCCCAAGAAATAGAATTTGTGCCCTCTCGATTTGACATTTTTAATAAAACAAAGGAAAACAAATATGATATACAAAATAGTTTATTAAGTCCTCCCTCTCACAAACACGCACACACATAATCACATACCTACGCACAGACACAGTAATATTTATAAGTATTATATTTTACTAGGGTGAGGTGGCAATTCTTGGTTAGTACATTCGTCTGGTTTTGTTATTTTCAACACAACTGTTGGCTAGCTAAATAAAAATAAATAAAACTTATCACTAGCATTATTCATAAACATACACCCCAGTCATACAATGTCTTTGGGCAAGTGATGCTAGGATCATAAGGACAAAACAGTCCAAACTTTGTATTCATACAAATTTTCTGATATGTTCTAATCTGAAAATAAATTGTGCATGTACTAGGTGTACACACGTAAGAAGTGAAACTTCTTTATGATCTTATTTTTCGAAAAATGATCTACTATATGCAACTTTACAGAAATTCGTTAAATTAGATAAAGTTTAACAAAAGGCTTTTATTATCATAGACATGAATACAAATATTTCATTTTACCTTATTACTACGAAGATTATTATAGAATTTCATTAATTGTAATAGAATTATTACTATCATTACAAAAACGTGACGATTTGCTACAAAATTTCTCCCATACGTCGATAAAGAAGTTTCATTCCAACTCCGATAAAGAAGTTTGACTTCAAAAAGCAACATGGCGCGTAACCGAAAAATGTGACGCGTAACTAAAAAATGTTTTACTAAATTTTTTTCCAACCTCGATAAAGAAGTTTCACTTCAATAATATTCGCCCAATAGTGTTTACGTTTCCAGTTTTAACTGGTCTGTCGTTAAATCTCGGGAATGATAACACAAATATACTTCTGCTTCTCTACTATTTACATAACGATAAATTTACTAGACTCATTTACAATCACTACTACCAAAAGACGTTTACAACATTTCTATAATTTATTTATTTTACCTAAGTCAGAAAGCTGTATGGATCTTGCTTTCAGATTCCTTCCTGATATTTTCCCTTTATAAAAAATATAATATATCTATGTTTAATTATATTAATACTATATCTGTAAGGGTTAGTTATAGAATCTTAAATGACTTAGTTTAAGTTAATACTAAACTTAATATTATAATAATTGTATTTTAATTCAGATACGTTTACATTTAAACACGTTTCTATTTCAATCTTCTTTTAGGTATTTGTGTGCCCTTGGCAAAGGCCTCCTCCAAGTCCCGCTATTCCTGCCACTCTCTGCCATGTACCACCTGCTGTTTCTTTAAAATAAAATAAAATATGTTTATTATGGAACATAAGATACATGTATCACTTATTCCACGTCATTAAGTTTGAATTTGTAGGCATCCCTACTCATCGGCAAAGTAGACAGAGGGTGTAGGCCGAGAGAAAAAGCCGGCGTAAAAAACTCTCGGTACCTACTCTTTTAAAGTAGCAAATCATCAAACAAGACTTATTTTAAAACAAATATCGCAAATTAATTAGAAGTAGCCTGTCTAGCACTAGTCCCAGGCCCTTTTATCAACTAGATAATCGTTGACTTAATAGTAAGCCTTTTTACACAGCTTTTCTTTAATACATTTCTTAAATTTATTAAAAGGCAGAGATAAAAGAGCCTCTGGGATTTTATTAAAGAAGAGTATCCCTTTCCCCAAAAAAGAATTACTAACTTTAGATAGTCTAGTACGGGGAAATTGCAGCCTGCGTTTGTTCCGTGTATTAACATTGTGCGTATGTTCTATTCTAGTAAACTTATCACTATTTTTGTATACATACATAATATTTTCATAAATATATTGCGAGGGAAAGGTAAGTATATTAATTTCCTTGAATTTATCTCTAAGAGATTCCCTACATTTTAAATTATAGATTGCACGAATAGCCCTCTTCTGTAGGATAAAAATAGTTTCGACATCAGCAGCATGACCCCATAATAATAAGCCATAAGTCATTAAGCTATGAAAGTAACTAAAATAAACAAGTCAATCTTTAATTAGGTATATCCAACTTCTAAACTGTCTTCCTCTTTTTCGTTTGCTGTACTTTGGGCACCAGATTAGTACTTTTAGACCAAACTAAATATGGAGGACTAAATCCAATGCCGAAAACTGGAGATATTCGGAAATATAGAATTGCGTTTTGTCATTCTGCAATTGATCAATGCAATCCTAAACTTAATGATACCAAAAAGTCGTGGACAGTAGTAAACATGCGCGATACATCTTGGCAGGTTCATCAGCGTACGGCATGCATCATTTTACTACACCCTTATGTTTTAGCTGATAGAAAACTTTGATAACAAAATAGACTGTACTATAAATATAATCCTAATATTATTATTATGTCAGGAAGTGCCCAGTGGCTAGGTGTCTGGGAAACCTTGAGTTCGTGGGTTAGCATTGGATTTTTCTTGTTTGTACAAAATTAACTTTGCTCATTACAGCAGTGTTGGCCTAGTCGACTCAGCATGCGGCTCCCATTCCTGAGGTCGTAGGTTCGAGCCCCGACTGTGCACCAATGGACTTTCTGTCCATGTGCACATTTAACATCCCCTCGAACGGTGAAGGAAACATCGTGAACCGGCTTTCCTTAGACCCAAAAAGTCGACAGCGTGTATTAGGCACAGGCTGATCACCAACTTGCCTATTAGATTAACAAATGATCATAAAACAGATACATAACCCTAAGGCCTAGATCTAAAAGATTTGAGCGCCACTGATTTATTTACAAGACGTTGAAATACATGATTATATTCCAAAAAAATACTACGCGTTTGTCAGACAGAAATATTGCTAACCATCCTTCAAAAAACATATTTATCAGTAACCGAGATAAAAACTACTCCAAGGAAAGTATTTTTAATTCTACCCAAACCCAGTTATATTCCCATTCACCTAATCTCCCAATTTTGAAGCTTTGCGGCGTGTAATGGCGTTCATGATGAAATCACTTACGAAATACATTGTACAGTGAATTGTTAGCGCGTGGCGAGTCACGTTCACTTTAGGAATATTTTGACTTAAATCACGTATATTTTATCCGGTTTTATGTATACGCTCTTAGAATTATACAATGTTGGCAAATACTTCCTTATAATTATAACGGGTCGATAAAAGTAATAAAAACGACTCGTTTCAAATAATTATTTCGTAGAATTCTAACTTGTCTTGACAAACGATAAAACGAGTTATAACAATGTTGGACATAGGATTTAGGTTTATGGAGAACTACTAATAATGTTTTGTTTATTCTTAAGTTAAATCTAAAATTAGAATCTAACTTAATCTTAGGCCGTGGGGTTCAAGTGCACAGGTGCTAATTAAATATTTAAATTGGCGCCAGGTATACAGTACCAGTGACACCAGAGCTGCCCTGCTATTCTTTAACTCACTTTTCGAACTCACACAGCGGTTTTCGCATCGGCGGTCGCTCTCAAATCAGTCGTGAAGCAGTCATTTTATGATTTGGCATTCTGAAAAGGTGGGAGCTTGTAGTTTATTGTTTATCAAAATGCCAAATCATAAAATGACTGCTTCACGAATCACGACTGATTTGAGAGCGACCGCCGATGCGAAAACCGCTGTGTGAGTTCGAAAAGTGAGTTACAGAATCGCAAGGCTGGTGCTTTCCACACTCAACTAATAAGTATCGCCATATAGCAAGGAAATGCTGCCAGCGGTAAAGGTACACTGCCACAGGCTCCCTTTCTAAATTTGTTTTAATTCTCTATTTATTAATTATTAATTAGAAATAATTATAAAAAATTGGAAGTATTTTTTTTACTTTTTTTTAACATATATGTTTATCATAATAATTATTGTCATCTATTTTAGAAAAGATAGCTTGTAACATACACTGGAATAGAGCACGATATATGATGTGGTAAACTTTATTATATAAATAAAAACAATACGTTTTGCTATAGAAAAGTATATGACGGGACATTTTACTAAACAATATTATATGTCCCATAACCCGAACATGGGCAGACACAATACTGTACAAAATACAGTGATACCTCATGTGTGTGATCAACATTCGACGTAGTTTTTTTTTTGCTGTTAGACACTCCAGTTCCCTCAAGTTTGCCCTTACCGTTACAGTAATTTCAAATCCATTTAACCGGGGTTCGAATGCACGACCGCAGGGTTGCGATACCCACGAAGCTCATACTGCAATGTACTAATTTTAATAGAAACGGCAAAATCGAGAGGTCGTTGACCTATAGGTTACGTTATAACGCGTTTTTGTTCATTGGCACCGAGCCAACGCGTAATGGACGACGGACGACATGAAGAGTGTTATAATTGTGATTATAATCGATTATATTTCCTATTGTTTTCTTATGCGTGCTCAGTATTTAAAACTTATTTTTTCTTTTTTTTATATATAATAGGGGGACAAACAAGCCTACGGGATGCCCATAGAGGGCAGTCATCGCATCCATTTTTAGTGGGTGTGTTGCCGACCTTTGAATATTTATTTTTATTTAGATTTCGGACCACGAATCACCAATAAGGATGTATAATGTAGGCAAGTAGAAAATGTGTGGCACTGAAATGCATTGCATTCAAGGGGCCAAATATATTATAATGATTATCAACAAATTTCTTACGTATCCATTAAATGCCATCAAAAACATAACTTGTAAAAGAAACCACGTCTCGCAGTTTTTCTACCTTTATTAATTTAATTTAATATTATGAGATCCATGTCGGTAAATTTATTCAGTCCCTACTAAAGCTACTTTCTGTATTAATTAATTAGTTAACTTGACATCTTACAAGTAATACATGTTGTATTCAATAAGATTATTTTATTGATTTATACAATAAACACTAATTGTATTTTAAATTTGTAGCTTCTATGGTTGCTAAAAGTGGCTTAGAGTTTTGATGATCAAGTGAGTGATAAAAAAATACGAACTTTGACTGTTTATGATTCTTAAACTACTGGTTCAAATTGAATGAAATTTAAAATATACCGGGCTTATACAGTCACTGCTTGGTAACGAAAAATTCTAGTTTTATACATAATAAAGTTATAGGTGGTCGAAAATGGCCTAAACTGCTTCGAGAAAAGGATATACGGCCGCGCCTTTTTTTGCTCGACTTGGCGTGCGCAATGCCATGCCCCCAAATACGGCGTTAATCTTTAAATTGATTGAAATAGAGACAAAACTTTACTATACACAATAACAGGATATAAAAATAACGTGCACTAGGATTTCCTGTGTTCTGGGCAGCCAGTCTCTTCCTTTTGACATGTTAACTATACTTTACTTTATGATTTCTATATAACAAGAAATATTTTCTGGATCAGCATAGGACAGGTTGACAAGATGTTGTTTGAGATTTTTAGTGAATGTTTAGTGAGTTTTGAAATGTTAGTGTAAATTTTGTTTTTAGGAAAGTAGTTAAAGATGAAAGGGCCTCGGAAAGAGAAAATGCGTTGGGCGAAGAAAATGCGTTTTTTGGGTTGCTTATATTATATAGGGTTGCGTTGTGTTTGATGTGGTGTGGCGGGTGTTTGTTTCCCAAAAAAGTCTGCATATTGCTATTATTAATATTTGTCTAACGTTATATATTCATTCAAAAGTTATATTTAAATATTTGCGCTAACATTTTTAAGAATACGATTCAAACATTTTAATGTTAATTTCCTATATTATTAAATTGTACACATAATATGATATTTTTAAAATGTGTGTGTTTACAGAAAGATTCTCAAGCATTCTCAATGTTTACGCTATGTAAAAAAACAGGAGAGGAAGCAATTTATGCAAAGTAACTAAACCAACTGCGATCCACCGAAGTTTACGAGGTAGCGAAGTGAAAAATTTTACGATAACTATGTACTATCAGCAAAACACTTATTTTTAAATATGTATTATAATGTATTAATATTTTCAACAGTGTTTAGATGTTCAGTTGAATTTTTTTATCAGTATCGAAGACAGATTTATTCACTGAGCGTACAACACGAAGGCGGTGGAACTAAAAACAAAACCTATAATACTATAGTTGATTTTGCTGACCGTAGTGTACTGTTTACATAATGACCTCTTTTTAACCGTAAATAAAGCTAACAACTAGGTGATGACCAACATAGACTACTAACCACTTCCGATTGTATACTATTGTTTACTTAACAAAGATGAAATATCTCTCTAGCATATAGCCAACAACTGTCGAAATACCTAGGTAAATTATATATCTACTTGTATCTATGATGATGATGTATGAAGAGGATAACCTATATTATAAGTCTAAAAATAAAGTTTTATAAGAGGGACATGCGCTACCGCACAAATTAAAAAAAAATCAGTTATCTATAATTCGAAATCTATAATAATATATTTAAGGAACGTACGAAAACTTCCCTAGTTTTATTAGATTTAAGGAAGCAGAGTATTTTTTAGTTTCCTGTGGGATATAATATTTAAATCTTTGCCTGTATAGGTATATCTTAATTTACAAGACGGTCAGGCTTAGGAACTAAAATATTCCTGCTACGAAAAGAAAAGCTCTGTTTAATATAAATAAAACGTTTATCTGGATTTCTAATTCAAATTATTCCTTTTTATTATCATCAAATATAAAATTATTGATTCCGCCTATATCCTTGTGCATTTCTTTGAGTTTGACTTTGAGTGTGTCCATATCATTCGCGTTATCCTTCTCTAACACCTTCCTCAATAGACTTTCCACTTCGCTAACATTTTCCCTTTTATTTTTATTTTCAATGTCCAACACCGTGGCGTTATTTTGTGCGATAAAATTATCTAATTCGATAAAGCTTATATTTTTAAAGGCGCACTTCTTAACACTTTCAATCACATCTAAGGCTTCATCTTCAATAGATTTTATGACTTCTATGAGGCAGGCTTCGTGCATCGCGCCATGCGCCATTTGTTTAGTCAAATCCACTACACCATCAATAAGTTTCCCGGTTATCTCCATCATGGTTGATTTCATGAGGGGTGACTAAAACAATGAGAATATGATATAGGTTTTTAAAGTCATCAAGATGAGGTCATTTTGGCCGTTTCTTTGATAAATCTAAATATTGCTTTTTAATACACACAAGCGAATTAATTTTAAATGATGTCAATGAATATCGTTTATAAAATATAATAGAAGTGAGTAAAGGATATGCCTGAAACTTTTTTGCTAGATTTTCTCATCCGATTGATATGTAAATTTGAGAAGGAAAATCAAATTCGGTCCAAACTTCAAGTAATCGAAGATCATGAAAAATTTTTAGAAGACGTTTTATTGTTACTATAATAAAACGTCAACGGAAAAACTCGTTAAGTATTTTATAAATCAAAAGAAAAATAATTGTAGCCTGTCATAGGACTTAAATATATGATGTCAATGCTGAACTAAAAAGTGAGAAACCATCCCGATGCCATAGAAAAAAAAAACTTGTCAACCTAATTGAATGATCTCATTTGTCATATAGGAAGTCGTGGGTGACGTGATTAAAATAATTTATAACGTCCAATTTAATTCGAAAAAGAATTATTTCTTTAATTGAAACCACGATGAAAGGTGGGCACAATTTTTCAGCTCGGTGCCGACGGAAATGAGTCATTGACAGTTGTAACATTTTTCGCACAAGTTTATTTTAAAACCAAAATTATTCGATTGTTTTTACAAATAATACAATAAAATTTAATTATCGATAATTAATAATTATTAAACACCTATTTTAACTATTTACATATGGCTCCTAGGTGTGAATTGGAGTAGTGATAAAAACTACAAAATAAAAAAATCCATTAAAGATACTTTGAATAACAAATTATTTTGAACTTTTGATTTTCTGTTGGGAATTGCAAATAAATTCACACCATTATTTAAACGATCGGTTAGTCATTATTTGTATTAAAGACCTAAGCCAGACATCTGCTAGCATTGACCGAATTAAAACACTTACCTTGGATATGACGCATTTGATGACCTTCTTGAGAGAGTCGTGATCGTGTCCACACGCTCTCAACAAATCGTAAATCTCACTCTTTTGTTCATTTATCTGAAAAAATTAACACAGATCACTAAATAACACTTCAAAAGACACGTAACATTTGTTGAGAATTTTCATTTAGTTAAATTTATTGTACGATTCCTGGGTCATCAGGGTGCTTTAAATAATAGAGAATTATAGTTTACTACTACTCAGTATAAACCTCTCGCATACAACAATAGAATATAAGCGAAATAATTAAATGTTAATGTCGAGTCTGCGTCTGGCTATACTCTCGCTATAATTCCGGCGATTTAGGAAATGGCCACGCTTATAAAACTAAGAAAGCCTGAGTGAGCAAAATGTACAGCCATGGCTCGTACATTTGTTTTCTGAATTCTAAGTGAACGATAAAATGTTATAGACAATACAATAAATCTGTCGTTTCGCACCTCTAGCACTTTTCCATATTTTACTATTCCATAAGGCTGAAGGATCTATGTTGCCTTAATTATAATATTTAAATATCAGACTTAATCAAGTTTTAATTAAATAAATAAAATATCCTTCTGTGCTAATTTGATGAATCCAAAACATTTCGCCGGTGTCGAACCTATCTTCAGACCCATCAGAATCGATTTTAAAAATGCATTTAAATAAAAACCTAAGATACTCGTAACGAAGATTTTAGAATTTTGTAATATTCGAACCAAACATTACCGGCTTAATTCCATCTCTGATCATACTCTTCAGATTGGCAACAGTCCTGACCGCTTTAGAAGGATCCTGACCGATCAAGGCATAGCCACAAATTACCATCTGATGAAGGGCTTTCTCGGCTAAGGCGGATGTATCGTTTTGTTTATCAACGAGGCATTTTTCGACCTATGCACAGCAAAAAAATATTGTAACCAATTTATGTTGCATTGTCACATACATTTATGTTGTACTTTGTTATACATATATAAAATAATGAAAAAAGTATATATTGATTCGAAATCTAATTAGAAATTAAAACCTTTAAAAAAAGCAAATTAAAAACAACAATAAATTACACGTTTCGATAACGTCCCTATTTGTATTTTTTCAAGTCAAGAAGGAAAATTCTGTTGAAGACGGTAGCAGTCTAATGTAAGTGAAATTTGACAAATATCGCCGATACAGAAATAAAAAAAAATGTATTTTAGAGCATTGTTGGCCTAGTGCCTTCAGCGTGCGACTCTCATACATGAGGTCATAGGTTCGATCCCCGGCTGTGCACCAATGGACTTTCTTTCTATGTGCGTTCATTTAACATTTGCTCGAACAGTGAAGGAAAACATCGTAACGAAACCGTCTTAGACCCAAAAAGTCGACGGCGTGCGTCAGGAACTGGAGGCTAATCACTTACTTGCCTATAAGAATTAAAAATGATCATGAAACAGATCCAGAAATCTGAGGCCAAGGCCTAAAGAGGTTGTAGCGCCGCTGATTTTTTTATTTTTTTAAATGCATTTTAGACAGAACTAGTTTACTTAGTTACTTTTTAATGCAATCGTTCATCTTAGCACATTTATCATACCTCCTCATCTCCATGACTTCTGATCATATCCATCACGCTTTGCAGCTGAAGCAACTTCTCCTGTATGTGCTGTGTGCCATTTTGCAGCAAAAGTCTTATCTTTATTAACACCATATCCACAGCTCTGAAATTGTTTTATAGATACATATAAACATATGCTGTATATAGCAATCTTGTAATAGAGCTATTATACGATGCGCCGTAGTCCCGCAATGGGATATAGGAAATATATGTATATATTGACACGTTTACTTGGTTGCCATTATGAGACACTTCCTTGATTTTTGAGGACTAAGACATGCCTAGGGTTACAACCACAAAAAGCCGGGGTTCCAACGCACTATCTTGGGAGTGAGACGCAAGCTTACCAACAGGATATCTCTGTTCGCATATTACCATAGACAATAGCTTCACATGTTAAATTGAAAGATGGGATTTATTCCATGAGTTTAATTAGCAATATTAATAGTTGACGAATAGGAACATATTTCAACAATCAAAATTCAAACCTTTCTAAATCCACCTGGAACTTTCTTTCAATGCTCTGGACCAGGTCCTTGCCAAGTTTCTGCGTTATCTCATCTTCTATTATCTTATCCACATCATCTTTGGCCACTTCCGCATTTGCTACCTAGATTCAATCACCCAAATTTCAACTCACAACTATTAGCAAGCCTAATTTATCACGCCGGACCTAGTCTTGGACTCAAATTCCATAATAGATGCATTGGTTTAGTGATAGACCTATTTGTTGTGTACGTAAGGGTAGTGTTTTCAAAGCTATTTATACAGTGAATAACATTACATCAACAGATGAAAAGCAGTATTATGCACGTCAGTATTAATTGCTACACAGTGAGTGAAAAAAAAAATAGAACACAAGAACAGAGTGTCTTCCCTTTAATAGAGACAGTAAGTAGTGTTATTGGACACTTTCTTATGTAAACATCCTTATTAGTAAACTAGGTTAGACTTACTTATAAGTCTTAAGTTAGGCTAGATTGTAATGTTCCATGATGACTTAGTAAAGACACATGTATAAAAAAAACAGATGAAAAGCCCGTCAACTTAAGAATGAAAAACATGATTAATAATATTGATCTTAGTGCCTATAAAATGATTTGGCAGCTCATCTCTGTTAAGCCTTCACGCAAAGGATATGAAGTGTAAGCAGAGCCTTCTATTAATAATTCTCACAGCCTGATGGGACAGAATTAAATTTTCCACATTATAATCTTAATAATTTAACTTTTAAAGTATAAAATTTACATTTATATAAAATATTATTTCATTCAGTTACCACACGTTATTAAAAATTATAAATAAAAAGCAATATCTTCTCAGCCTGTCCAATGCTGAAACGGAAAGTATTCCTTAGGTGCAACAGTAGTTTAATTATAAAATTGTAAGTGTTATGTAGAAATGATTGCGTCAAGTACCGGTTATATGGCAAATGGAAGAGACTAACTGCCCACGACACAGATAATCCTAGTGTGGGGGCTAGTGCACTTTCTTTTTAACTAAACTTCCTTTTTATTATGAGTATATAAAGCTTTTTCTTTCTCTCATAAATTCTTTGTTTAATTTCCGACACAACAACTTCTTCTTATGCCAAATTCGTAACTTAATGCTACAACTCTTAATTAAAATCATCATCTACTTTTATCGCCATTTCCCGCAGATAACATCAAAATAATAAAATGTAACAGCCCTGTTAAAGTATTTACAAACAGCCATTTCAGCCTAATTAACAATAAAACAAATGAACTACTCGCCAGAATGATCGCAGATATTATGTAAAGCGAATTCTTCAAACTCATAGCTGGATTGCGAAAATAGTTGAACGAAAATAACTCGATATTTCTGTATCAAATGATTGCCCACTTGTTTACGATAAAAATGCCGTTAACAATTTTATGGTATACTGGCTTGTGCCCGCTTCTTCGCTTGATTGTAATTCGGTTGTTCCTATCTTTTATCATCATCATATTATCATCTATTAGTGTAGTGTTGTCTGGAGTCTCGTAACGTCTAGACAGAACTGGACCAGACGCATTTAATCTTCTCCTCCATAATTGTTGCCAAAAATTTAAACCATCGGTTTGCACTGTGCACTAAACAGTAATATAGGCGTTGCACAGATTAAATCGGAAATTAATAAAATTGTCAAAAATATTAAACCTTCTTGGAACAATTTTTTTAAACATAATACGATTCAGAGACCTCACGCTATGTATGACTGGTGATCTTACCCTGACCCTAATTAATAAAAAGGGAAACGATTTATACTCAGTCGATCGCCATAGACATAGAATCTAACGCATAAAGCTATAGCGCATAATGTCAGAATTGTATAGAAGAAACATGTGCTGCGCATACATGAGTTCCCACTTGTAGTTGCTTCTAAGTGAACACTTCATTCGGCAGTTACTTTACTTAGAAATACAAATAAAAAATATTTTTAGATTGACACATTTACATTAATATTTTATATAATATCTTTTCTTATTATGTCTCCGACACTATCGACATATTTATATGTTCGCAGAGTTCACAGTAGCGATATTGTGTTTAAGTATATAATATTTACTTTATTATATTTTATTTTTTCTCGACATTTTCGTATTGGCATAGTCTGTAAGTATAATGTATGTATTTCTGTAAATAAATAAATAATCTTTGTTTCGTTTTTAAGTTGTGTGTAGTTAAACCAAATTAACAAATATTCGCAGACAAAACGTCATTGCTTTTTATATATGCTTTTTAAAACAAACAATTTAACGATTAATCTACCGATTTAGTCCTAATATGTACTGGTACCTATTAGTCGATAGTTTAAGATTTACTAGATAGAAACCATGCTTGTAGAATCCCCAGACTAAACAATGCGTGAAAAGTTTACAAAATTGTTATTCACAGCAGCTGTACAACTTTAGGTAACCTCCTTGGTGAAACTCGTAAACTTTTAGTGCTGGCTGATTAGATTTCTATTTCTAAAATCATCGGTATAGGTTCTTGTTGTTGTTGTTCCATTTTGGCTCTGAACATCGAGAGCAAACATCTATGGCGAGAGAACGTTAAGGTATTTGCTACTGCGGCTAATAAATGCACTACCTGGTCTGTTATAAGATAGCCTAAAGGTGCGTATAAATTAAGCGCGGCAAACCATCGAACATTGGCGCGCTCGAACGTGCCGCGGGGCGATTCGTTCGCTGTCGGTTTTTGAGACCGCATCAAAGGAGCTTCAGTCGTTCGCTCGCGCGCAGTGGGGACGGTTGTAGTTTTGTGAAAAGTGCCGTTTACTAATACAATTGTATAGCGCTATAAAATTTTTGTTTGAAATGAAATAGTTTATTCTTGCAAGTAGGACTATATAAATCACTTTTACAATGTCTTCCTAAACTAGATGAAGTCGACATTTCCTAACTGACTGCCCTGAGAAGAAATGTCGAAACAAACTCGGGGGTCTTAGTCTCTTTTATAGTCCAGATAATACAATAATAAATTAATAAGTTGGTGTAAACAAATGCAGAGTAATTTACTGGACTGGTCTTTGGAAGAAAGAACCAGATCGATCTGAGCAAGCCTGCGCCAGCAGACGGCTAGCATGCCCCGAATAGCTCATGCAGCTCAACCATTTTTGAGGGAGCTGCACAACCCGGTACACAACAATTTACACACAGTTTAACAGCAAATCCTCCCAATACCACAATAAATACATCGCTATGTACGTATATATCGTATGATATATATATCGTATGATACGTGGGTAGAAATCAGTAAGAAAATGGATATATACCTATTCCTGACTTAAAATGACTATCCGCCGCGCTCTGTTGGTGATGGATCGCCTTCCGCTCGCGGCTGTCACGTCCAACTAAATTTATATCTACATATTGGCTCGCGCGGCAAATGACCGTCAACTCTGGTCGAACATTGGCTCGCGCGGCAAATGACCGTCAACTCTGGTCGAACATTGGCTCGCGCGGCTGCCGCTCTTAATTTATACGCACCTTTACGTTAACCATCATAAAAAGTAAATTGAAAAACTATTTTTATATGTATTTGTCGCGTTCCCAAAGACTGCTATGGTTACATTTATACAAACCACGGCGGTTTTCTAATGTAACACGTTATGATTTTGTATTATTCTGTAATATGTGTATATATATATATATGTAAAAAAAATCAGCATGGTCATGCTTTAACTTTTAGATACAGTCGATCATTTAATTAAAATATATTTTAAACAATTTATTTACACCACTAATTACATTTTTTTCTGTAATTAATTGACGGTAATAATAAAACAGAAGATAACGTGATTTTGATGTTAAAAAAATATACTATTAGACATTTTTAGAAACGATATAATTTTTACTTAACAGAAACAAACCAATCTCGTAAAATTATTGATATTTACTTATGGTAAATCAATTCACTCTTTATTTGCTAACTTAAAGTTCGCTTCCGTACTTACTATTACATATGAAATATACAATTTAGAACAAACACAAAATTAATACATATTTAAATGACGATTTGACGCGATTTTCGTTTGCTGCACCTTGATTGAATGCAGTTGCACGAACGATGTCTTGATTCTTTTTTAGGCACCTTCTCCTCTGTGTCCTATAACATTAGGCACATCAGTGTATTCTGTTAAATAAGGGCGTCTATATAGCTTGGTATGGAGCATACTACACTAGAAGCTACAAGCGCCAGTACTCTACAACTTCGGTACAGTTTCGTAGCGTTGATACCGTGGGATCGTGAGGTACAAAAACAACATTTAATCCAGAATGGCAATGGCCATCGTTAATCACATAAGGGAAACATACTCAGCTCTCGACTTAATTCCTTAAGCTTGCCCTTATTTACGGACGATTACGTTAGCTTAACCTAACGTGACAACGTATATAACAAAAAATAGATGAAATGATTGGATATTTTTTAAGAATGAAATTGAATAATTATTTAACTATTTTATATGGATACAAAGGAGTAAATCCTTGGACACATAGGCCAATCGAGTGGAAGTGAGATAGATGCGGCGCAAGCGTACAATGAGTAGTAAAGGGACAATGAGCGGAACGAGACAATTAGTCGTGCTTTTTCGTACGTGCAGTCGGTATTGACGTGAGACGTTGTCACGTCAAAAGTAAATCACTTAGCTTCTACAAGATTAAATAAATAATGTCTTTACCGAAATGAACTTTATACAGTTAGTTATTAGTGCATAGATATATGAACCTTCCGTGCTTGAATTAAAACAGTTATTCTTTAATTTCGAGACCAAAACAACGGAAGTTAGGGTCGGTATTAGATATGACCATATAGCGTAAAATTAATGCAACTCCCACTGGATTTAACTTCAAACTGCCAAAGTTAAAATTACTCCACTTTGGTGGATTCCCTCGTTGCCATTCAATGTAACATTCACACTCACTCACTTACTCCTCTTGTTCTGCGACCCAAAAAGTGTCTTGGCCTCCAAAATGAGAATCCACCAGCCCTCCCTGTCCAGCCAACTGCTGTCTTTCAGTAACATTACCTTCTTCATAACGACAACTCTTTTTAGCAACAAGAATAATAAATTATATGACGACGGTAATACTTACACTATCATAGCAACAGATGGAGCGACACAAGTCTTTACTGTCCAGTTTTCCGAGAAGAGTATAGAACTGAAAATAGCAATATATGCCTTAACAATCTAATAACTAAATAATTATCAAAAAATGTCAAGTTTCGTTTAACTAAAATTTACTTCAATCAATAAAGATATATGAACTACCTTTAATTTAAGTTCGTAAAGAATGTCTATCAACATCGTAACTGCAAATTCGAGAAACTCCATGAGCTTTTGATATAATCTGAAAAATATAATATTTTAGTCATGAGAAAACCTAAAAGTCTAAATCTCAAAAAACGAAGACAACGAACGACACAGGAAGCTTCGTACACCGCCCATTTTCCGGCTCTATTTCCCACGCATCGCCTTTCTATACACTCTCATATTATTCTGGGAACTTATATTCAGTTATGTCTTAACCAATACAACTTAGAGATTGTCATGAAAAGAGATGGACACAGAAGACAACATTAATCGTATAAATGCCAACGAAAATGTTAAATTATCGCATTTATAGCTTAGGGAACCTGTAAGTTTATTTTTAAGAGGCAGGACAAGCTCTCCCTATCTTAAATGATGAGTGCTGGAGACATTGCCAGAAGACCACCAGTTGCATTGCATTGAACTGTGTCCTTTAAAGAATGGGTACGCTCATTAAGCTGGTATTTTATTATAATAATAACTCTAAGGAATCTATGATTAGCGTAATTCATTATTAATCCAGTTGGGTTCGACAACGAAATGACTATACATGGTCTTCGTGAACCGCTGCCTTCATCAAATCCTTAAGAGATTCTGGCCTGAATCTCTAATCATCAGCTACAGGAGCTATACAATGAGGTGCCAATTGCCAGGTCTATAAAATGCCAAAAGTGGAAATGGGTGTGCCATATGCTCCGCAGGGATCCAAGTCATAATGCCAAGTAGTAACTGGAATCCTCAAGGCAAAAGGAAAGGTGGCCGCCCAAAACAGACCTGCATCGAAGCATCATTGCAGAGGTGAAGGAAGCTGGAATGACGTGGAGTGAAATTAAGACTGCCCAGGACCGATCTGGTTTTCTGGTTTTCTACGCTGAATGACCTCTGTCCCACTTGGGTGACATGTGACATAAGACTTAAGACTTTGTGCTGTCGGGTGATGAATTTGCCCAATGTTTTTAAAGACATACTTGACTGTTACTAAGTATAGCTGACATATGGAAGTGTTTGAGATCCGCTGTTTCGCAGTTTCCGACGAACAACACCTTTCCTGTGGGTCTCCCAGTGGTACATACTAAAACAAACATGTATCAATTATATATATTATCATTAATACAGTTGACAGCACATAGAATATATACATATAATGACAATTTACGTACTACACATAAAGACGCGGCTGGGGAACTTAATTGTACCTAAGTATAATTATTATTAATAAGGATTTAGTTATTTTCTATTTTTTCTATTGTCACAATAATACCAACATTTAACGTAATATAGGGTCTACGTAATCACGAGTGCGATTTAATGAAATATATTATATTAAATTATATATTTTTATATATATTATATTATATATTTTTTTTATTGGAACTATGCAAACACTCAAGCAGTCAAGATTGCCACAGTTAAATTATTAATTTTATGTAACTTACCAACGCAACAGCTGCTAGGGCAAAAAATAGAATTGGCTTCACCAAGCTACGCATTTGGCTTAAAAGTTCTGAAAAAGAAGAACTCAATCTAATATTATTATTTCGATGGTACGAAACAGACATTTTTGTATATTATTTATGATAACAGAATCAGAAATATGTCTGCCTCATGCTCCATTACTTAAAACAACAGGCAAGAATTAGCTTACCTTCTGACGGACATCTTTCCACTTCCATATTTAATTTGAATATATTTTGTTTAATAGTGTTTTATACATTAAATTTTGAATCAAACGGGAAACAAAAATTTATTTATCAAATTTTTGACACATCTGTCTTGCGATTGACAGATAATAAGAAAACTCTAGTAATTTTCTTAAATATAAACGTGACTTAGAAATCTTAGTGAAAACTAAATAAGTCTAAATGCTTTTTCGTAACTAAATTACTTTCTCGTATATTTCTATCAAATTGTGTTTAATGATCCAATGAAAAGAAGGAAAGTAGAAACCCGGAATTTAGGGTTTGGGCACATTCCATCCCCACAGAAACTCTGATCAAAACATGAATATTCTGTATCTGTTTCGTGACAATTTGTTTTTTCTAATAGGCAATTGATTACTCTTTTGTGCCGAACACCGTCAACTTAGACAGAAAGTCCATTGAGAGTCACACGCAGATACCACTAGGCCAACAAACATAAAACTTTTGATATTGCACTAATAATCTATTATATAAAATTATGTCATGTTGGTTCCCATACTCCTCCGAAACGGCTCGACCGATTCTTATGAATGTTTTTATGCATATTCAGTAAGCCTAAGCCTAAAAATTGGATACTATCCATCTATTAAATGTTAAGGGTGCTGGTAATTTTTTTTAATTTTTTAGACAAAATTTTTTGTTTTTATTTTTTTATGATACAGCATACAAAAATACATACAACTCTTAGTATTGTCTTTGATTTACATAACCTTTACACATTTAAAGAAAAAACTGTTTGACCGGATTAAAGTTATGTATTATTATAAATTTACAACTATTTAACATAATTTTAAATTTATCCGACGTTTCGCGTGCTTTACAGCGTGCGTGGTCACCGTGACCACGAACATACAACTCTTACTCAAACTCAAACTCAAAATATCTTTATTCAAGTGGGTAACCAAGTACACTTTTGAATTGTCAAGTTAAATTAATTGTAAATTTACATTTACTACCAGTTCGCAAGTCAAGGGCGTAGAGCGGGTAAGAAGAACTGGCAAGAAACTTTCCGCCACTCTTTTTAATCGCCAAGTATTGTCATACAAATTGTTTGAACTGGAGCAAATCAGACTCAAGGATTAGGATCATTTAAGTATTCATTAATTTTCACCCCTCTACGATCAACTCCTATTTTTTATTTGTTTTTTAAAAACATTATTACTTGAACTCACACAGAAAAACTTGAAAGTTTTCTATCCGGAAAACCGAACAGTCTCTGGGGTAGCATAGCAAAATTTTCCATGTTGGTATGTACTAAAATGGTAGGCTAAGTAAAATCACATTAAGGAGAAACGAAGTTTGCGGAGGCAGCTGGTGTTCTATAATAAAATTTCAGTAAAATATATAAATGTATATTTTATTTAATAATCATGAGTTCTTTTTGGCTCGTGGACAGTTTTTCATGCATGTATAACCTTTTTCGATGCATCTAGCACAGCCATTTGACAATGACGTTGTGTCTTCCACGCTCTCTCTTTTAGATACAATACTCAGTGTTCGTTTTCTTGGCTCATTGTCTTCGCTTCTTTCTGGATCCTCAGTTTGGTTACCTAAAGTAGATTTTTTACGAAGAATGAGCGACTTTATTCCCTTAACCATTGCATTAGATTTTCTCTCGGCCCTTGCTTGATTCCCAAAATTTATATTTTGTGATGAATCTAACTGTCTTGATGCGGACAACTGGAAATATAATTATATAATTAGATACGGATCTGGAACAATAGTCTTTTTCGGATAAAATATTTTCAGACTGATGTAATAAAATGTAGTTTAGGCAACGATACAAGAATTCCCGGGAAAACAAATTGAATTATTACTACTAAACTTGTCAAAGATAAAATTACTAATAAATGCGCAACTACATATATTAAAATTAATGATGCCTTAATGATGAACAAACCTGTGCTCGTCTTTGGCATGAGACTCCACAACCCGCTACGCTTGTAAAATATTGTGTATATCCACTTATCTGAAATAATAATTTTTTTTTGTATATCACGAAATACGTAAGCATAAATTAGTGTAAATTAGATCACTTTTAATTAATTCTACATAACACCTAAATATATTATTGTCTCTCTCTTTGGGCCGATAGCTCCTATCTGAGTCTCGAGTAGCAAAATCTGGCGAATAATTTCCCTTCACCAATTTCGGCCCTTCGTTTCTTTTACAGTTTTGAAGTAGACGAGTGTTTGACTCGATCAATCCATCTCATTGGCGTCACGTCCACGCGATCTTTTGCCTTTGGTGTTGCCAATCACCAAGAGGTTTCTAGGTTCTCGTAGCCCCTACGTATTGTGTGACCATAGTACGAAATGATGCGTTGTTGGCATATAGTTTATAAACGGTCGATCGATGCATTGAGGCGTTTCATGGTCCACGGTATTCTTAACATCTGCCTCCAGTACAACATATCAAAAGCGTCAATCCTTTGCGTTTTTCGGCCTGTGACGTTTCTGTTCCATACAGGAAGATATCCCTAGCGATCAAATAATAATTTTGAGATGTGCTACTAGAAAGTTTTTGGCCTATTGAGGAAATGCTTGACCAGTTTTTAACACATTTAGTTCCCTTAAATTAGAATGATACTAATGAGCTATCGGATCTTACTCTTTGCATGATGCTGCAGGTGTAGTTGGAGAGGAGTTCTAATGTTTCGTAATAGGCATCGGTAACAGGGCGGCAGGTGCTACGAAAATAAATATATTATTATATATAAAAATAGAACTGATTAAAAAAAATACGCCAAAATGTCACAGTTTATCATACCTGAGTATATTATCAATGATTGCACAAGGACAGGTGTCGCAGACGCAAATTGTTCTGGCCCTCGAATGGCTGGTTCCTGGAGAACTAGCGATACTGTTGGACCTTTCGAGGCCACTAAGACCACTGAAACTGCTGTACTGGCTTTGACGGCAAGACAGACGACAAGTGCCTGACCAAATCTGGCGTATTGCGGACGCTGTTGCCGTGAATTCTGGGTTATGGTTAATCTGAAACATAGGGTGGATTCCAAAAGAAAATCCTCTAGTGGCAAAGTGTGCGGTTCTGAACCCGTCTTTGCACCAATATTTATTTTTATTTTGTATGTGCTTTCAAACGATAATTATATTTGGAGTTTGACATTGACAATGATATCTATACCTAGAGATATCTGTTGGATTACGGATCTACGTATTGTGACGATACCGGCGTCTTAGACCAGTTGAATACGTGTGCTCAACCCAACCATTGTATATTCTAAGGCAAAAAGTCATCTACTTGCCAAGAAAAAAATAATAAAAGAGATCTATACAAATATTAAAAAAAGGATAGATTTTTGTATGCAACAAATACTCAAAAAGCCCCGTAGGGGCCCACTTCGTAAATTACTTCAAAATTAGACATATTATCTCTGAATTGCGTAAACTATATTCATATCCAAAATGTTAAAAAGTTAATACTACAACTGCTGCTAATGGAAGTGGAGTATGCTAGGATAACGAAATACGTACGTAAGCGTAAATAAGTGAAAGCAAACACAGGGAAAAGAGAAAACTAATTAGCATTTGTCCGCAGCTTTTTGTTCCTCCTGAAAATCAAAATAATGTTAATAAAGTTACACTGCTACAAAGACGTATATAAATAAGCTCATACATTGTTTTATTTCCTCTCGGTATTTCGTCTACATTGCGTTATATAAACATTGAGGAATTGTTATAGACATGACATTAACTGTCAATCGTTACATCGAAAATATCAATCATCTCTTTGACATTTTAATTTTGACGTTTTAAGTAGTCTATGAGAAGAGCAGAGAAATAAATAGATGATACCTAATAAGTGTATGTATTTCTTGTTTCTTTCAGATACAGAAGGCCTGAGCAGCGGCTGTGAAGCGAGTGGTGTTAGAGATGAAATCGCTAGAGATTATGCTGCGTTACAGTCACGCCTTCGCAGGGAATTCTCAGACAGACATCCAGGGAAAATTGATGTTATGCGAGGTTATTCATTTCTAAGCTATCCAATTTTTATTAAAGCATTTTTTAAATTTAGCCATCACGTAGAGGTTCGTGTTACAACAGACCGGGTTTTTAAATTTTGTATTTCTGACCATTATTCCAGGGCTGAGACCTGTGGCTACTGAAGACCAGCTTTCAGCCGACTACCACAATAAGCTGAAGGAATGGCGGATGAAGGGTGTGAAACAACCTCCGCCCATACCAGCCCGGAAGGACCTTAGCGAAGACTTCTTGAAAAAATGGGGTATGGAACTACTAACATTACAAATTCAATGTAAGGTTTTATTAAGTTTTTTTAAATTGTGCAAATAAAGGGTATATTGGTGCATAAGGATCAACTTCCTTACTTGCCTGGTAAAATATTAGAATTGCCTAAGGATAGGACCATGGTTGAGAGTGGATTTTAAGATTCATCACATCATACTTGATTACCTGATTTATATTCTAGAAATGTATAATAATAAAGGGTTTTAATTTGGATAATAGGGTATGGTATTATATCTAGCACCAGCTCATCCGCTTGCCAAGTGGCAAAGTCCTCCCCCACTTTTCTCCATTCGCTTTCATTGCGCACGGCGCCGTCACAAATTTCCCATCACGTTTGTAAATATGTCATCCCATCGCTTATGTGGTTATCCTATACCACGCTTTCCGTAACGTGTTTTTGACACCGTTCGTGTTTTAACACCGTTCTTTTTGATTACTGGACTCTTTGCTTTCTCTTGTAACATGGAATTGATTGAAACGAAATGAAATTAGACTGGTCAACTTCCATTTCAGCTTCTTATTAGTCGATCCAGTCTCCCTTACTCATGTAAAGTCTCTAGGATTCTTGTTTCTTCATCTATCAGCTTCCTTATTCCGACCATGCTCATTTCCATTGCGTGTTGGCATGTTATAAAAAAAAGTTTAGATATTTATGGTTTTCGTAAAATACACACCCACCTCTTGTACGAAAGACGATTTTTATAACGGTACAAACATCTAAATAAATTAAATATTTAAAATTTTATATTCGATTCCGAATTTTAAATTAGGTATAAATAAGTTATAAATTAGTCAAGATTGCAAAATGTTATGTCGTTTTTTTATAGTATCAAAATACTTTTGATATTATTAATTTTAATGAATTTTATTTTAAGCATTACGTACCTGTGTTTCAGATGATTGGACTCGTATGAAGGAAACTAATTCAGTTCCCACGTGGGAGGAGGAAGCGAAACCTGACGAAGTGTTGGTTCAGACATCGACTGGCCTTTTCAAGTTTCACGGTATATTTCTAAGTATTATATGTTGATAGCCAGAAATCCTTAAAACTGCGCCAAAGCATGGCACCTATTCAGAAATGTAGCTTAAAACTCAAATAGTTAATGTCAACAATCTCCAAAAATTGCGTAATGTAATACTTGAACGCTCCCTTACTAGCCTAGACCCTAGTCAGTGATGGACTGTTGACAGATAGAACAGATACAGTTAATAAAGATATCTACATATCACCTGATTATTCCAGGAATCTCGCGCTCCTTTACAAGAAAACTTCACGAGTGGGAGAAATCTCGAGGAATAGCTCCAGAAGCCTCCACATCCGCCCTATTACAGGAAGCAAAGGCGAGGAATAAGGTTCCCGCTGCCCTAACTCGTACACAAAGTGACGGCAGTGTTGGTCCCGTGTTCGCTGGCGGAAGAGTTCATGCGAGCAGTCTGAGCGTTAACGATGCTGAAGATTTAGAGAATTTGGTATGTTATTTTAAATACGTTTCTGAAACATATAAAAGTTGTTTTTTTAATTTACTGTTTATGTTGGTTAGCGTTAGGCTATCTAATAACAGACCGGGTAGACTATTTATTAGCCGCGGTAGCAAATACCACAACGTTCTCTCGCCATAGACGTCGTAACTTGCTCTCGATGTACAGAGCCGAACTTGAACCTAAACGTACCGTGCCCCTGACTCTTTTAAAATTACGTTATGGTGGTTCAAGCTAGCTTATGCATTATCCAACGATTGGCTTACTTAACCTTAACATGTATGTACAATGTTTTTAAGTAATGACATATGATATATCAGTCCTATGGTGGTCCTAATAAATATATAACCATAAAACATGCGCTTGCTAGAAGTTTTGTTGACGGAACTCGTTTGAGATGTTTATAGCTCGAATTTAAGATAGACACAACAATTAATAAGTAACTTCAAACCATGACTAACTTTGATTATTTCTATTACTAAAGATTAGGATTCTTTTTGTCTTGTTTGTGTGAGTACTGTTAATATCTATATCTAGAAAATGTAATAAATAAGTGCATTAAAAAACCAAGGACCTGTTTGTAATTTATCTTAGTAATGACAGTTTATTTAAAACATAATACTGATAAACCTTTGTATTTTCAGCTTGATGACGAAGAATGTGAAGATGGTAACGCTCGAGAAGCCCTCCTAATAGAGATAGAGGCCGAAGAGGTGTGCACGGCTGCCCCTTTAGTAGCTGTCTCACCACGACATACACCACAAAAACCTGTTTATACGTATGGCCCAGCTGAAGCTCGTTTACTGTGTGAAACCACGTCTGCGATCACCGGAACTGCTGTTGTACAATCGAATGGCTCTGGTGGGTACATAATAATAATCTTATTACTGGACTTGGCATTACAAGACAGACGTTCAATACGACCTCAGTATCGAGAGGTGGACAGATGTGCTTCACTGAGATGGTGGACTGATGTGCCGACACACTGACGTTTTTGAAGACCGCAAACTTTCAAACGTAGCTACCTCTAAATAATTCATATACTTACAAATCGAAAATATTATACAATATGTAGCCTTTCATTTCAGATAATTTTTACGTTTAATCACATTTATATTTCTATCATCTTAATATTTCATTCTTTTTAGAAATCTGTGTGCCCTGTTTTGGCAAAAGCCATTCCAAAATAATACCAGTCAATATTAATCAGAGACAAATTATTTCTTAAGCTGGCAACAATCATGATTTTTCTAAGAAGGCAGATTGCGTTGCAAACAAACACAAATTGAACTTATGACCCCCATCGCTAAAAGCTCAAATGATTGAGGTAGTGCTATTGATAATTACTGTAAGCTATTAACAATTTAATAGTCATGATTTCAGATTCACGGATAATAAAAACAAAAGAACAAACCATAAACCATAAAATTATCCGAGAACAGGTATGTATGTTTTATAATATATATATATCTATCGTAAAGTTGTTGTGAAAGGTTTTATCGGCTGTTTTAATAAATCTATATTTATTGGTGTGTCAATATATTTCGTATTATTATTTGTAAAAACATAAATAATTTGATCATGTGTTCTTAGTATTAATAAAAAATGTGCTTTTTCAACACAAACCATTAATTCTGTTTAAAAAATTACTCTATTGCAGTCAACTACAGAAAAAACACGCCGGAAGATTTCAAGACAAAAAAGTCGCGAAGAAGACGCAAAATTTATTAGAAAGACCATTGAGGAAATTGAAAGAGGTCCTCTCAAAGATGTTTCTGAAACTGAAACGGTTACTGAAGCTCAATCCATGAGCAAAAGTATAAGTGTAAAAAGTTTGAAGATGGATAGTGCTAAAGAACAAAACGATAGTGATAAAGATGAAAAACGTAATAACGGTAAAAAGAAAAAAACATCTAGAGCCAGATTGGAGAGGGAACTATCGAAGCCGTCTGAAACTGATACAGAACCAGAAGTAGATACAGTGACGGTAGAAATACCGAGAAGAAAGAAAAGACCGCGAAGACAGTCTGAAAAGCCCAGAACTCCTCCCACATCGCATCACTCGGATACAGAAGGTGAAGTAAGTACTCAATCATATATAAGATAATTGTTTGCTACAGAAAACTAAATGTATGACTAATCTATTTCAGGTGTTCGTCCTAAAAATTAAAACTCAAGATGTCCACGACAAACCACCGGAAGTTATAGTGAAGACCACACGCAAAATATTTTCACCAATTGTCAGAAGTGGAGAGACAATTCCCCGAGCAGTAATACCAGTAGACGTAGAAGAGTTAGAACCAAGCCACACTAAATTCGCTCAGCCAGTCCACGACTCGAAAACTTCCTTGCAATCTAAAAGCTCTGGAAAAAGTTCTGGAGAACTTCAAGATGATGAGCAGAGAAAGAATTCGAGGCCACCCCTTCCTACTTCTCCGACATCGCAACGAAAGAAGGAAACTGCACCGGCTATTAAAATTATGATTCAACGGTATAATAAAAAAATTAATGAAGGTAAGGAATATCCTTCGAATTAATTCATAAAGGTTTTTATTCATAATAAGAAAATAAATGTCAACGGGTAGAAAGGACGAAAAGAGAGGGGATTAAAGTCTCCTAGTTAAATCGCCAAGCTTTTGTTAGGTATACAAAATGTTTACAAACATCTTAAAGCATCTTATTTTTCATTATTATAAACATAAATAATGAAAAATATTTATTTTTAAATATATATGAAAAGCAAACGTTTAAAGTCATAAAGAACCAGTCATAACACCAATGATATGATCTACGTATAATATAGTACGTTAATTATATTACAAATCTGTTAAATAATCCTTAATCACTGTATCAGTAAGGTTGGGTTGACAAAGAAATTTACAACTTAATTTTATACTACAGCTCCACCTTCCGGAGGAAGTAGTGGCACCACATCTCCGTTATGGAGATCTCCAAAATCTGAAAGAAAACGTCCTCCAGATATGCCTGTAGGAGTTAATATAAGGTATTTTATTAAAAGTAAATCTACAAGACTCATTTGTGTGAAGCGGCTCTTAATTCACTATGGAAAATACAAGTTACTATCGTCAGTTTCATCTTTATTATTCAGTCTTAAAGTACTTGCAAGACACAATTAGGGTTTTATCGATAAATTGTTGAAACCGTTGCCAACCAACCTAATAAGGCTTATTCTTCTTCTAGAAATAACCCATTCCTAGAAAGAGAAGTCCAAAAATCCGCCAGCGCGTGTCAATTATCGCAAGATCAAATATCAGAAAAATGTTTGACACCCGCAGACGATGGAGTTTTGAAATCCCACAGCGCGAACACATTACATCCTCAAAACGAAGAAATGGAAGATATTCACATACGAGAAACTACACCAAGTATGGAGACAATTATACCACGAAGGGAAAAAATACACCAGAATCTGGAAGATATCAACCAGAAATCTGAAGACATGTTCGATAAACCGGTATTAATAAACCCTAGTTTTATGAGGTCCATATCTGCGGTTGAAGATAATTGTACGTTAATTAGGATGACATCCCGAGCTGCCAGGATTAAGGAAGCAAGGGAACGGTTTCTTTCATCTTCTCCTTCTATGAGAAGAGAAGGGACAAGTTCTGCGAGTGACTTAAGACCAGGTGATCGGTAAGTATACAATATACGGCTTCTTGTCGTATCTTTACAGGTTCAGGGTTAGACAAAGTGCTGCCTGTCCTTGTGGCGATGCAGCTGAAGAGACAGTGTTGCATGTTCTGACCGACTGTCCCATGTATGGATACGACAGGTATAACACTGAGCAAGCTATGGGCATGAGGGTAACGGAGACGAGTTTGAAGGGAATAATGCTCAATGTTAGGTTGAGGGGCATCTTTTTGGGATTAGCTGTGAGGGTCATGCAGGGGGTTGTCAAAAGAAATAGGTAGTAGTAGAGTAGTAATATAGTAATAGAAAGTAAACATTCGGGTTACCAATACATTTATGTAAGCTTTTTAACACCTCCGACGACTACATAGTCGGGGAATTATCTGGAAACGTTTAAAAAATATTTATTATTTATTATATTATATATTTTTATATTATACTTTTTATACAATATATAGAAACTTTTTTACCATAAAGTCGGCTCTTAGTGAGAGTAGACTATAACTACTCTACTTGATTTGTTTAGTTACAAATGAATCTATAGCTTCAAGTCAGAAAAACGCGTTAATTTAGAGGAAATATATTTTTTACTTAATTTATCCGAAGAACAAATTAATTTAGTTTTTAATTAACTAATAACAAACATGAATGATATTGGATGCATGGTAGCCAGGCTAGCGATATTCTTAGAACTTCGACGATTTAGGTAATCGCTACGCTGGCAAAACTAAGAAACCTGAACTAGCAGAAATATACCCTGGCAACTTCAGCCTTGGTTCGTAGAAGGCAAAAACTAAGAAGGTTACAAAGAAAGCTATTTATATACCACTCATTTAAAAAACTATTTTCTAGGTCTAGTCAAGTAAGCTGTGAAAGCGATGCAGCGGAGGGTCAAAGTTCAAATCCAGACTCACCACTGGGCCGTAGTGCTTCCACGGGAATGGTAAACGTAGAGAGGGAAGCGTGGCAGAGAGTAGCTCAAAGTAATTATTTTCTAAATTTTACTACATAAATAACCACAAAAAGTAAAGATATTAAAACAACTACATTGAAATTGGATATTGTTGTAAGATACTAAAATGCTAATTCATTATTGAGTCCATCATTTCTATTGACGAAGATTTTTGTAGTCAATGTATGCATTAAATACACAATTACAATAAGTGTTTATCGTAAATCTTTTATTAATTACAATACCCTTGCGGTCTTGTAAATTTTCGTGTCGTAATAATAATTGGGCAAATGTATACAGCAGCTGTCCCACCGTAACCACCATCTTTATTTCAGATGGTTCCAGGCGTGAACGCCCTAGATCCAGATTTAGCTTAGCTCGTTTAGCCGCTAAGTTACGGCGAAAGGATGAAAGCGCGGTTTCAAGATTGTGTCGACAAAGCCTTTTTGTACAATTAAGGAATAAACAATAACTCGAATACTTTGTTTTATTATAATATTAACCTAATTGAGTGAATTTACTTTCTGTCTACGACGAGTACAGTACACACAAATATCATTAAACGTTAAATCGTTTATTAAAACCTAAACATAACAATCAAATATACAATAAAAATTAATAAAAACAAAATTAAAACAAGTTTTGGTCCCTGTGGCAGTGTACTTTTAACGCTGGCGCCTGGCAGCATTTTCTCGCTGTATGCGATACTTATTCGTTGAGCGACGAAAGCACCAGCTCGGGTGTCACCGGTACTATCTACCACCGGTGCTAACTTAAATCTTTAATTAGTGCCTGAGAAATTTAACCCTACGACCAGGGGCGTAGCTACCGCCGTATTTGCCGTATCAATTATACGGGGCCCCGGGCCACGGGGCCCCCAAAGTGTGTAAGGAAAAAGAATAAAAACTTTCTAATTTATTTTATTTTACAAATGACAAAATTCTATAAAGCAATTCCTTTTTTTCCCGCCTTAAGCGTGCGTTCAAAAGTTGGCAACACTACATCGTTATGGCGGGCTGCGGGACTTCCCCGTTTTACTTACTTCATCTTCAACTCAGCGGGGAATCCCCGGGAATCCTTCATCGATATCGCGATGTACGTGTACGTTGTTGTACTTTGCATTGGATGTTAAACCACGGAGTGCAGTGCACTGTTTATTTACGCGCTTTATATAAATGTGCATTACATTGTAATTCAGTACAAACAATATTGTTCTTCTGGTTTAGCAGTATTAGTAACGATTTGTAAAAGAAATGAGTGAAAGAAAAAGAGATTATCCCAGCGGCGCTGAGAAAAGAAAAATTAAACAGAAAAGGGACGAGGTTATAAAAAAGTGCCCAAAATTTCTTCATTTTTTCAGAGACAAGATACTGTGAGTGATTTAGATTGGAAAGGTAAGTACAACACTACTACCCAACCCATTTATTAGGGGCCCGTAGTGATAAACAAGGAAATCTTTTAATTTCGGTCTGTCCATCTGTCCGTCACAAAAAGTTGTCTCCCCCTCGATTTTCACAATTATACTGTTTTTAGGGTTCCGTGCCTTGATTAAAAAAACAAAATTCTAACTTATCTATAGGATCGATTTGTTTTGTTGTTTGTTTATCAGTCCGTATCGTATCGTTAATTGCGTGTTGAGAACTTCAGATGTGCAGACTCGCTTTCGGGTTCTCGTTTTGTATGGCCACTACACTACGCGCTGCGTTTAAATAGCACGCAGGTGTATAGTAATGCACGGACGGGCTGCAGGTGATTTTGTATCTACTAATAGGTACGAGCACAATCCGCGTAGAATCTGTGTGCGTCTGAACTGAACACTCTCTAACTGTGACCCTTAGTAACGTTATTTATTTATATATAACTCTTTTTAGTTTAGTATAAAAGCATTCGTATTTATTTTTTAACAATTACTCGTTTATTTTTAGATTCTTCTGAAGCATGTTCTTCGTCACATATCCATCCGGAAATAGAAGAAAGCCAAGCACATACTTTATCGGATGTCCATCCAGAAATCGAGGAACCCCAAGTCAACGATTCTGATATATCTGCAGATACCTAATGCAGATTGTAATATAATTTCATCAGATAGAGGAAATTTTGGTGACAATTTAACTGAATGCGAACGAAAAATAATTTTTAAATTGGGTCCATTTAAACCACAAGGACCATTTCCAAAAGTTTCAGAAAATAACCGACCTTTTTCAGCTTATTATTATTCATATTTCAATCAGGCAGGCATAAAAATTATAAGACCATGGTTATGTTATTCTAACGTTTTAAACAAACCGTACTGTCACTTCTGTTGGTTATTAGCAGATCGTCAAAACAAATCGTACTCCTCTGCTTGGGTTAACGGTGTTTCGGTTAGAAGCAATTTCACACAAACCATGAAAAGTCACAGCAGCATATTAGTGCCTCACTCTCTTATAATAATTGGTTGCATGGAAATACCATCGATACTCTATTGAAAAGTGAAATCGATAGTAAAATTACATTCTGGAGAGATGTACTGCATCGTATAATTAATGTTATAATTACTTTAGTATCTTGAGGGGGCATGATTCTGATTCTGGCAATTTTATGGCAATTTCACGTCTGCTATCTAACTATGATGCAACTTTAAAAGAACTTTTTCTAAAACCGAAAGGTGAAATAAATTATTTAAGCCCTACGATTCAAAACGAAATTATTAGTTTGCTTGGTACTAACGTTAGGAACAGTATCTCAGAAATTAAAAAAGCTCCATTTCTGACAATAATTCTGGATACAACACAAGACTTGTCAAAAATTGACCAACTATCTGTAGTTTTTCGATATATCTCGGTTACAGAAAATGATGATAATGTGCCTAAAGAAATAAAAATCTGTGAGTCCTTTTTAGGATTCATAGCAGTAACCGATTGCAGTGCTGCAGGTCTGAAAACTGTCATTTTAAATTTGACTAAAGAATATGGAATTGATTTGACTAAATGTTGAGGACAGGGATACGATGGAGCAAATGTTATGTCGGGTGTGTATGGAGGATTACAAACCCTAATAAAAGAGCATGCTCCAAATGCCGATTATGTTCATTGTGCTGCGCTTTAAACTTGGTTTTGAACGATGCTGCGAGACATGTTCGTGAAGTATCGACTTTTTTCGATAATTTAGAAAAAATATATACTTTTTTTGGCAATAGTATAAAACGCTGGGCTATTCTAAGTGACGATTCATCTGAAAAATATTTGATTACCCTTAAAAAAGTTATGTCCTACCAGATGGTCTTCTAGGAACGACGCTTTATTATTATCATGAAAACTTTGTACCAACTAAATTTAATTTCTAATAAAAAAGATGAACGTGAAGAATGTAAAAGTATAATTAATATTTTAGAGAGTTTTGATTTCTTAGTGCTCGTTACATTTTTTTCTTCACTATTTGAAATTATTAATCCTGTTTCTAAAGCTCTACAGCATGAAAATAATGACTTACAGAAATCTAGTATTTTATTAAGTAATCTTTTAAATAGACTGTGCCAATTAAGAAATCAGAATTCATTTAATAGTTTGCTAAATGAATCCAAAGATTTAGCAAAAAAGTGGGGGGTAACAACTGTTTTTAAAAACAGTAGGCGAAAGATAACGAAGCGTTTTTTTGATGAGTTATCACAAGATGAGAGAATTTCCGACCCGGAATCCTATTTCAAAGTCAATGTATACTATTGCTGTTTAGATATATTAATTTCTCAAACTAAAGAAAGATTTCAGAGCCTTTGCAACCTGAGTAGTATATTCGAAATATTACAACCGGAGAAACTCCTATCTTCTTCAAGCGAAGAGATATTAAACGCTTCCGGAAAACTGTCTGCTAAATACAGTAAAGACATCTCACTTAATCTTTGTGACCAATTAAAGGCTCTAAAAACATGCTTAAATTCTGAAATTAAAAAAAATTATTCCATTAAAGAACTCATTGAATTATTGCTAGTAAAATTCAATAGTCTTGCATCCAGTTTTCCCGAGGTAAAAAGGCAAGGAGAGTGAATATTTAAAATTCGATTTTTACTTGTAAAATGGGTAAATTATGTAATAAATAAATATTACTTCTCACAATATTTTTTTTCTTTTGTGAAAAATCTTTACCTTATAAGGGCCTCCAAAAAAATTTCTATACGGGGCCCCGACAAGGCACGCTACGCCACTGCCTACGACCCAAGAGTCTACTCCAAAGGGAACAAAATCTAAGTTGGAGGAGACTCTTAAATTTGAGCCGTTTATAAGGTCATTAAATGGTTTAATAAAAAAAAATCGCGCCTCAAAAGGGCACAACAATTTCGTATAGTACTCCTACTTTATTTCATTTGTATTTTATTGCTTGAGACTGGTCAGTACTTACAGCTTAATGTATCATACATATTCATTGGAATAAAGAGAGCTCACTCCGAGATAATTTTTACACATTTTACAAATTCATGTTCTAGGGGAGGTGGGGGAACTGGAGCCTACTAAGGAAAAAGTTAAATAAAAGCCAAATTTATTGATACCTTATTAACTTTTTATTAGAAACTAAATCCTTACTTATTCGACTATCATTTAATCACAGCTTTAACGTAACATAATTTGACATTTTGCCACAAATAAACTTAAAAGAAAAAAACAGGATCGCTCTCATTACCCGACTTTGCGGGCAATGAGAGCCTATAATTTCGCATATGGGTAACGGGAGCTACTTATTTATTAAATCAGCCTCAAAGATTTCTATCTCAGTCTGGATCTCACTTATTCATATAAAATTTAATATAACGTAATCGTGTAACATTTAACTTTAAGAATCTAAGCAAAAAACGCAAATATAATCAACTGGGCTCTCAGAACCAGAACATTGCTTATGTGCCCATTTACCACAACTTCTACAACGGTACCACATCTCATTGTTTTTTCCTATATCACAGCAAATAGCACACAATGTCTCTTCTTCTGAATATTCTGACTCATCGTCGCAAAGATTCTCAACATCTTCGTCTTCAGACGTCTCCGTTTCACCCTCAAAAAGTTTCTTTTTAACTCTTGTTACATTTTCTTTTTTGTTCATTGCCTTCTTTAGTTTTTTTCCCTTTTCTGCTCTACTTTTTCTATTTTTGTTGATGGTTTCTCCCTTTCTCTTTGTACTGATTTCAGTTTTATTTTTTTTCTCTAAGCGTTTCTTCTCTTTCTCTTCAAATACTGCTTTCATTGGCGTGCGAGACAAAATTACTGAATGTTGTTTTTGTCTAGAAGTCTTATTTTTGTTAGTTATGTTAGGTAGTGGTCCAAGATGCTTTCGTAGTGGTGCGTTCTCTTTTTCTTGGCATTTTGATATCTAAAAAATAAAAATAATTTTGATAAGAATGTTGGGGTAATCAGAGCCTAATAAGCTCTAATTACCCGACTGTGGTAGTCGGGTCTTCTTGAAATTTAATAAAATTAAATACTGCATCTAGCTTGTAACGAAATT